CTCCTCGTCCTCCTCTTCCTCCTCCTCGTCCTCCCCGTCCTCCTCTTCCTCCTCCCCGTCCTCCTCCCCGTCCTCCTCCTCCTCCTCCTCCTCTTCGTCCTCCTCCTCCTCCTCCTACTCCTCGTCCTCCTCTTCCTCCTCCTTGTCCTCGACGCACCGAGATATCGTGGTGCCCGAGGCAGTACCAACTAACAATATTCGAATGCGTTTTTTCTTACACCACTCGTATTTTGCTGCTTGTGGCTCTTCTTTAGTTTGCATTGTTAGCCTGAGAGGTGATTGGTCAACTTGGCCAGGTGACCTCACGACCCTCCTTCCTCCTCCTTGTGCTAATGCGACAAGGCATGACGGCTAAAAGGGTCTGTCGGACTTCTTCATAACTTCACTACGTTCCTTTTCTTCTTTTTTTTTTCGTTTGTGTATCAGGACAGCATTGAGGCCTTCCTTTTGGACGCAAAAATTGCAACACATAGTTTTACTGCCAGTGTAAGTACAAAGTTCACAATCTACCTTGCCACACTGTCAAAGGCATTTTTTGATCACACTTAACTCCCTTCGTAGTAGTAGAAAAGGCCTTGTCCACCTTCTCTGTCGCTCAACCCCTTCACAATCTTCACTGCTCTCTCCTACAAACGAATTTTATTGCTGTAATAACATGTTTGTCTGTCAATTCACCCAACGCAATGTGACATGTGACTGTTGAACTTCCGTCTCTCTCATTTGTAGAATCGTTTAACTACGTGGATGAGGTTAAAGTTGACAAAACTGCACCTTACTACCCCCTTAATGATGGACAAGGCCTCCCAAATCGCATCGACGACAAGACCAGCCCAGAGACACGGGTTTCGGCCTCACTTAACATGACACCAACCGATCCACATCCCAACATTCATGAAGGAGAGGCGAGCACTTTGACATTTGTTGCACCTCGAGTTGATATACCCCATCGAGGTGTTGAGAGTCGAAGTCGTCGAGCTCGTCGTGATTACTTTGCTGGTCCAAAGCCTTCCAACACCTTCTTCATGGGTGATACAGAGGCACTCGCGTCTCATTCCACCGCCTTACCAATTGATCAGGTGGATGTGCCACAACGATCAACTCAACGCAGCAAAAGTGTCTCCCGACCGATGGAGAGCACAAACACGGGTCTGCGAACTCGTATGGAAAGCGCTGGAATGAAGACGATACCGAATGCTACTTCCGGTGGGAGAATGTACAGTCGCTCCTGTTCTCGATATCGCAGTACAGACATTGACGTCGCTTTAGCGAACTCTGCCATTTCACGGGAGAATCTCACAGGAGCTGCCGTTACTGATGACAATCAGAAGAAGAAAATGGCATCTTCATTGTTTGATCTCTCAGCAAGAAGGCAATTTTCAATGTCAAACAATTTACAATTTTTAAGTGGAAAGTCAACCAACTCCCTTCTGGAGACGGATATCGACACTGGAGAACAAAAAAATCAACAAATTATTCTTGAAACTGATGTAGATACATTGAACACGTACAGATTGGTCGGTGGATTTGCCTCTGCCGATGAGGGACCAATTCAAGCCAACAACGACAAAACTTATAGTTTATTTAATCTGACCTACCTCAACAGCACAGGACAGCCTCGAAGACACTTCACCGAGGACAACAAACACCAAAGTCGAGCAGACGCCTATAAACGAGCACAAAGTTTGTCTGGAATAGCTAAGTCAATTGATAATCACCGAGGAGAGTTGAAATCTGGTGAGTCCAGCCTTGTAGCACGTTTGCGAGCTCGAGCTCGTTCAAACCACGAACTGCGTGTGGCGGAGTCGTTGACTCGAATTCACGTGCCTGAATGGTTGGATAAAGCGGATCTCTCAAGGCCTCTATCACCTCTTCGTACCTCATTATCGCCACCGCCACCACCACCACCATTAATACCCCGTGAAAAGAATATCCAATCACACAGTGGAGTATCACTACCATCAACAACTCTCTTTCAACACGCATTTACCAATGGAGTTGAAACAACGCTTCCAAAAAGCAAAACAATTGAAACCGTCTCCAAGCCGATATGGTCTCCCACTCCTCCAACAAAGACAGAGACGCATCGCTCCCTTAGACCCAGTCAAATCCTCCGAGAACGAAATGCCTCCTATGGCTCCAAATTGGCTCCAATAAAGTCCACTCTGAGAGGTTCAATGAAGAGTAATGTTGCAGAACGAAGTGATGTGTCGTCCATTGATTATGGAAATATTATTCGACCTGGTGGATCTATAATTGCTTCTCGACCTGTTCATCTAAATCCCGAGGATTTTCTCACTCATAATGAAAAAGTTTGGGGTGAAAAATCAACTGCACAAACACCTCCACCTGTGGTTTGTACGACTGCAACGTCGGCAGAACTCATTCAAGCACCAAAGACATCTCTACGATCGCCTTCCTCACCATCAGGTGCTAAACGTCTACAGCAAATCCAAAGTCAAAATGGACATTCCGTGCGTAGAAATGGTGAGACGCAGTTGTGCTCTCCAAATGAGAGTAGCAGTAGCCTTAAAATGGCCGATTCTGAGAGCCTAGTTGAGAACCAGTTCTACCAACCAATGGAGACAGCCGAAGTCAAACAATCCATCAATCGTTTCCTGGATGAGGGACTTTATGAGGAGGTACAACGTCCAGCAAAGTTTGTGCCACCGCCACTATCAGTGCCTAGAACAACACCATCAACCTCGGCGATCAGTACTCCTGCCGCAAACTCGGATTCTCACAGTCCTACATGGCACAATGTCGACTCAGATGGGGAGACCGAGACTGCGGCAACAGATGGATTGGACAACATTTCTGACCTTACATGTCTAACCGACCTACTGGATAAGTACTCCACACGACATTTCACTCTCCTCCAAAATCGTCCCTCTGCTCTGGAGAACATTCTCACACAATTCGGATGGTGGTCAAGCGCACCCAATCCCACGTCCAGACAACAACCACGCGGATCCAGTGATTCTGTTGCTTTGGCAGCAACGCACTTTAATCCTGATGAAGATAGCCATCGAAATGAGTTCCTTGCATTGCTCACCAGTCCAGCGGGTCAGGGACCAATGATTCTCACGGAGTATGGATTTGATCAGAAGCGTATTGGCCTCGACAGGAACCCCAAAGACGGTATGCTTTACGTGCATTGTAATAATCCCTCCTGTCCTCGGATGGGACCCACTCGGGTTGACAGAGCTCGATCATGGCGGACTTGCACCAACTGTTTCACTGCTTATTGTTCATCCAAGTGTAGAGAGCAGGCCTTTCCAATTCATAATATGGTGTGTAATTTTGGACGAATACGACTTGTTTGTGGACGGATACTGCATCGTTTAGCGCCCAGTCAACAAGTCAGTCTGACAGCACTGGCGAAGGCTGGAGCCACACGTCTTGGTCGTGGTGGCATTCTCATCACTTTTGCCTCCGTTCAGGATGCTGAGTTTTTCCTCACCCGCAGCACCGAGCTTTCGTTGAGGCAGCCTCGACAACCGTCAGAAAGTGTTTCTGCAGATCGACCCAGTCCCTCAGGTCTTATCGCGCCTCCAATTTATCTCACAGTGGAGGAGTTGAATAAATTGGACTCTAAGTTGGCAACTCCTTGCAAGTTGTACAAGCCCAGTGTCAGTTATGTGCTGATTGTCATTATTTGTGCATACGATTTGGAGGTGACGAAAAATGGACGAGCTGTGCATCTCTACAAACAGTGCATCATTCTACCTTTTCCCGGAAGTGCTGCAAAGGTAGCACCACCAGTGTCTCAAGCAAAGTCACCGTGTCCCAAACCGCCAACCATTTCATGGACACGACGACAAACTAGCAAAGAGGAACGCGAGGCCTACTCAAAACACCTTCAGCGTACACTTCGTGAACGAGGTGTAAGTCTCCGACACAGTGAGCCTGAGGTCTACAAGCAGTTGTCAAAATTTGTTGAAACAGGCGAGACTTTTGAACCTGTGGAGTTTGACTTCAATGACTACTACTCCAATCAGGTTATAACGTGTAGAATTGCACCGATGGAAGATGTTGTGATTCGTCAGAAAGAAAGTTTCAATGCCAAGGCGATCCATGAAATGCCACATGCAAAAGCCTATCAGAAGAAACCGTACAAAATCTCACGGCCTCGAATAGGTGAAACTGAGTTGTGATATATCGAATTCCCTTCATCATTTCACACCCCACACAGTTGATCACAGTCTTTCCTTCCACCATGTGTCATGTCCAAATGAAATGAAGTGAGGGCACTCTGAATCAGTAAAGAGTTTGGTCTTGTATTGCCTTTACGTATGTAATTACTTGTTTTTTTTTCTCCCATGAATAATGAAGTTGAAAATTTCGGCAAATTTTTGCAACTTCACTTTACTTTTCTCACCGAAGGAGTATGCAATCATACGTTACAGAGGGGTAAATTTAAGGATTTCGGTAAGGTAACTGTAGAGAAGCAAATAAGGCAATGAAGCATTGTGATGGATAGCATCGTAACGACTTAAACCTTACTATTTTGCACCAGAAGACATTAGGCATAGCTGCTCAGCATCGCGTGAGCACCCGTCTACGACGAAAAGAGCAATATGAACAACAGTGGCCGCTAGTTTTTCCGTTAGTCAAATAACCACGGCATTACAAGAATGATCACTGAGTGTGGGAATAAAACAACGTAATGTTTTGTTTGTGTGACTATCTGAGGTTCGGTGGTCATTTGAGGATTTGCCTGGTCCTTATACTCGTGGGTTGGCCTTCGGGCCATGCCCAGGCCCATTTGCTCTGTTCTCTTCGAAATGCATATATCCAGCCTCCATCCATCCTATGGGAAGTCTCGGGACGCTACATCGATAACAGCGAAATGCGAACCGAACATTTTTCCCACTACTCTTTGTTGCATGTGCCTACGGTGTGGAAGAGGCGTATTTGCATCGGTGATGCAGAACCTCTCCATCCCTCACAATGAAAGGATTGAGACTGACGTCTGCATTTGGCTTCACCTTATTCCCGTGCTCAACAGACAAGCTGTTAACTACTGAAGCGACACCGCCGTGAACCAGCTGGAAAGGTTTCGTGACAGAATTTTTCTTACCAAATCCGTGTTTAGGTGTTGGTAATGACACTACGGTCCTCCTTATATGTGGGACAGTAGTTCATGCCGTTTCCCTTGTAGCGTATATGTGTAGACCAGAGTTCCACAGTCTATTACTGGAAGCAATTGATGGTCAAGAGGTGTATGCGGCCCCGAATCTGGTTGTCAGACCGAACATAACTCCAGATTTAGTTGAAGCTGCCGAGGAGACCAGGTACGGTTCATCAGTCTCACACTATCGGTCGACTTGTAGTAGCGAATAGGTTGTGATGGTTGGTGCGAGAGATGTAGGGGAGGGGAGGGAGAGAAGCGCCGAGGAGATAGCTCAAAAGAAGAGGGGCAGCACAATGCTTTGTTTATGCGACTATCTGGAGCTTGGTGGTCACTTTAGAATTTTTTGGCCTCTGTGCTTGTGAGCTGGCCTTCGGGACATGCTCAGAAAATTTGGCTTTATACACTTTGTAATAGATGTAGCCAGCTTCAATACCGCTTTATTTGTGTGATCACCTAATATCTAGCTGTTATAACACGATTCGTCTAATTCGTACGCGTGTACTGGCCTTCGGGCTAAGCTCAGGTTTAGCCCTTTTGCTCTTCAGTTATTGCCTGCTTCTACCAAGTGAGATGTCTTGAAACGCTGCTTCATATAATAATATTGATTTTCATATGAAAACTATGCCTAAAATATTACTAAATCCACAAATTGCAGGAGTATAAGAGATTTACTGATTAATGACATTTTTATTTGTGTATTATGATTAGACATGCTTGGAATCTTATGAGGCAAAAAAATTGTAATACATAAAAGTATGTTGAAACCTTTTACCCGATCATTGAATCTGCGAGCATACAAATAGTGCTAATACTTCATTGGAGGATAGTCGCTGAGTCGTGGATCAACATTAAAGCATAATAACTTTTTCTGCTTCAGACCCGAGTATTCACGTACTAGACTAGCCTGGGTGCGTCGTTTCGTGACGATGGAACGGTATATGACAGATGAAGCTGGCGCCGATGAAGCTTCTGAATCAAATAGATTGTCCAAAGTATCAACACGCTTGGCACTGATAGTCTCGTAGTTTTTCAGAGTATTCTTTGACAAAATTGTACCTTTTACGTTTTGCCGATGGTTATTTTTCTTCGGCACTTTAACATTTTATATTGTTCGTGTGGCCCAACTTCAGGTAGTAGCCTATTAATTGACAGTGTCAGGGTTTTTTCGTTATTTCTTATGCTTTAGCCATATTTATTCTCAGTCAGTTTCTTGGATTCCTGACACCTCAGTTCAAATTCAACGATGGGAATAGTATGCAAAGTGTCCCCATTTCTATAGTTATCTAGGTGACCCACTTCTCCCCACAAATTCCGACGGCGAGTTTAGACCCTTTATGAGACGGTTATCCGAGTTTAAGTTTTGGTAGGCACTCCATTTCCCGCAAAATATTTAGGAAAACAGGAAAAATTGTACGATTGGCACGGCCATATCCATAACTTGTACTTTCTTCCCATTTTTCGATCTTCCTGTGTTCTGGCCGATTTTATTGATATACTTCCTTACCCTTTTCTACGTTACTATGAGGCGGCAAATTGAGGTACGTCTCTTTTACCTCCTCACGTTTCCCCTGACCTATCTTGGAGCTTGTTACTATCTAAACTGCTCTATTTACAGCACATGATACGCTACAAGTATCTACCCTTCACATACGGGAAACCACGCCCTCAAGGCAAGTCCGTTCTGCAATCCATCTGAGAACTTCACTATCTTATGCTTTTAACAGTGTGCGCCCATCACCTTCATTATATTCAGTGCTAGTTTTCGAGCTGTTATGCTTCCTTTTGGCGCTGTTTTGCACGCTGTCGTTCCCTGATGTACAATTTATAAAAATGAGCAATTTCGCTCTTTTATATTATTATTCTAATACGCTCAACTCGGCAATTTACTTCCGTTGAATTCTGGCATCCCCTATGTTTCAACCCCTATCGATGCCACTATGGGGCAGTAGAGAATAGCAGCATCTCCAATATCGGTTCGCGCCGCGCACACACTCCGCATCATCGAGATGCGGTGTCCTACAGCGCACCGATCAGTGGCACGCTTTTGAGTGAATAATAAGCTGGCCTTTCAACCGATTACATTGGCACCAGATATCGAAGGGACATCCTTCAAACTGGTGTGGGTGACCGATCGCGTCGGATCATGAAACAAGCGAGTCAGTGCTCGAAAACCTCCTTTGCTCCCCACAACTAGGCCAACGACGGAAGCACCGTGCTAAATCTACGCAGGCCCTTACGCGACCACCAAGACCACACACCTTGAAATCTGCTCGCAGAGAGAGTAAGCGTCAAGCCAGTGCTTTTAACGAGTGCTCCATGTCAGTCTGATTCCTACTCATAGGTTTTAAGTAAAAGGTCAGCACTTTAATAAATGACTTAAAGCCATCCAGTTGCAAAAGGCGATCAGAGTTGGGGCTAAAAAAGGATATTACAAACAAAACAGCTAAGGAAACAGACAACAAGTATTTAGTGACACAAAAAGCATGCAGGATATGTAGCTGAGCGCAATCACTTTTAACCTCTCTTATCGGAGGCTCCCTTACGACCTGACATTTGGCGCGGCCTTTCTGTTGAGCGGCTTCTTGAAGTTCTAGCGCGTCTCTTGGGTGAAAGCATTGCGGAAATATCTTCGAAAGCTATGAACCGAGAGACCAATATAAAACAACAGAAATGGGGCAATATGATTTGCAGTGTCGACAGGGACAGTGAATCAAGAGCAAAGGACCGTAAGTAAGAAATACTCACTTAATTCATCACGCCTCACATCCAGGGCAGTTAAATCGTTTGTTAGACCCGAGTGAATGACGTCCGGTGGCGGAACGTTCTCGTTCCTAAAGAATTGTTGTGACAGGGAGGTGACGATTTTAATGGGATGAAACAATGGGCGAATGAATCTTGATTACGTGATTTCTCTCAAGTCGGTTCACCACTAGAACGGGAAAAAAGGGTACAAACATACGTCGCTACCAGGACTTTGCGTCCTCGAAGATTCCACTTGACGTCATCGTCGTTCAAAGTTTCCTCATCAGTTGCACCAGCAGCTGATAAAGCACTTTGCATTCGTTTCTTTCCTCCTTGCAAGGTGTCTTCGTCAGTTTCAGATTCAGGTAACTGTTGACGTTCCTTCGAAACGGTTGCCTCAGCTCCTCCTTCATCCGGATTTGTAACATGTGACGATCCCTCCTCAACCTTGTGACTTGGCGATGGAGAACGCGAGTTTGAAGACACTGACACGTCCGACGCGAGAGAATGCCAGGTATCATCAGAGCTAAACAAAAAGCCAAGCATTATTAGTTGACATGCAATAGTTACAAACTCTACTTTCGATATTGTGTGGTAAGAAGTTGGGCGCACAATTTTCTTCTCGGAACCAAGAACGAAAAAGCCGAGGTGGCCGCTAAACTGACTACATTAAACAGATTGGACATTAAACCAGTTATAAATGGTCGCAAAAAGCAAAGCCCAGGCACATTACCTGAGAATTAACTCAATCGACCTCACGGAGTTGTGCGCTGCACATGAGACGCGCTACAGACAGGAATGACATTTTTGATCCAATTCAGCATAGTCCACTTACTTGAGATTTTCATAGTTGTGTATATCCCTTCGCCACTTTTTAATCATGCCGTCCCAGCCACGGCGCGAGACGATACGAAACTTATTGGGGGTTCGAGGATGATGCTTCTCACGTTCAGGCTTAGGTACCTTCAAGATGTACTCCGCATACTTCGCAGTCGTCTTCCCCACATCAATGTCACGCTGACGTCGAAGGAGTTCTGACTTCCGCCGCTCCAGCTCAATTTCTCCAGTAAAATTTCCCTATTTGGGGAGAGCAGGTAGAAAAATGAATACAATACGACGCGTAATATATCCCGACCGCCAACCACTCAATTTGAGTTACATTGTCGATGCACTGGGGCGGTAGTCATGTTACTGACAATTAAAGCTAGACTGGCAGAATAGTGTCGTTGAAACTTCGGGAAATGCAGCAAACCCCACATGACACCACTCGTGTTAGACCTAAGCGTAGTTCTAATTATCAATCAGCAGAATTATCGTCAGATATGAACACAAAGCGAGGATATAAAAAGAAATGAGCAACACGGATGTCGGATCTGCTACCAAAAGTGATAATACCAAGAGACAAAGGCGCATACAACGCCCTCCGAGTAAAAATTGAGCACTACAATTACCTGTTCGGAATATCTACGTTTCAGCTTTTCTTCATATCGCTGCAAGTCTCTATCAGATTCCATGCTAAGAAAGTCATCAGGAGCATAATCACCTTTCGATTTATATAGGCACAGACGTTCTCTTGCTTTGCGAATTTCAAGGTAGGGATCATATTCATGGCGACACCTCTGATCGACAACCTGAACATGGCGATTAAACAAGCATAGTACCTGAGTGTGACCACGTGAGGAGCAACCAGCACCCTCCAACCTTTCAGAGTACCGAGAAACACGCAAAGATCGACCTTGGGACACAGGTGTTGACATTCTAGGCCTCACAGACCTACGAGTGAGATGTCCGCCCCGACTACGGGAACCTAAACTGAGTGAAGAGCCACCTTCATCGTGCAATACATCACGCGAAGTCGTACTTTCACCAACACAAAAAGTGGAAGCGAAAATCCAATAAGGTTTGGATTCTGAAGCCTGTAGTTGATTGTGGGAAAGAAAAGCACGACTCTCAACAGACGATGCAATGCGAACATTAGAAATGAGTTATCTTAACGACCAATGCAACATCAAGCGCTCCCGGACATAATTATTCCTTCAGATCATAAGACCTAACTTGACCATTCAGTTTAACCGTGCTAATGCTTACGCTGAATTCTCATCCCAACGACTGCGTAAAGTCGACCGATCTCTCTGGGAAGATTCAGGTGGCACTGCCTTTCTCGGAGGGGCACTTTTCCTTGGACGTTTGGAAAAGTCGCCTTCGCTCATCTATACATAAAATGGAGGGAGTCTTAATCGATAACGCCACTCATTTAAAGACTCTTAGTGTCGATGAACGCTATGAAAATCTTTGTAAACCAAACGACAACTGACAACCATTGCTTCAGGTGAAAACGAAGTCTCACCTGACTGACACACATAAAAGTTCGAATTTCGATTTTATATCTACGAGAATACATTAGATTGATATAAACATAATTATGAATATGTCATGATACCGAACGATAATAAAGCTCAGGACTATGTAGTTATGCATTGTCATGCAAGCAAACTGATGCATCACATAATTAATAATTTTTTAACAAAAAATACAAAAATTACGGCTAGCAATTATCATATTCGCGCATTGGTGTAAGGATTTTCTCGCATAACGCAAACACAATTACACTATTAGCAGGCAATTATTTCGTGTCGGCTTGCCTTTATCTAATTTTTGACAAAAGGATTCATTTCCACCGTTTTAATTATCTTAATAATGGGGGATGATTTTACATATGAAGTCCACTCATTTAATCTACTTAACTAAAGTTTGTTTTAGTTCGTCTGTCGCAAAGAAACTCCATACAATCAATTTTTAATAAAATGGCTAGTTGCGTACGCGGACGTATCATTCAAATCACAAATATATCACCGTCATGTTCTTTGGAACAGATACGCATGCTCTTTGGAAATATAGGCGTTATCGATGAACTGGTTTTGTATCCACCTGAGGGCAGTGATTGTCCTAGCAAGGTGCCTTGCCTCTTGATTTCGTGACTTTGTAGGTTTGCTACATAAGGTACGCAGATGCGATTAATGCGGAGGTTGCATTGCATTTGCATAACACTATGTTTCTTGACCGGGCATTGATAGTTCTCCCCGTCGTGAGCGAGAAGGATGTTATTCCAGATGAAAAGTATGCTAATCTTGTTCGCGCGCCTTTGCACACGTCCGCTGGTATACATCCTCGATCAGCGTCATGGCCGCTAGATGTAATCAGTATGGTTGTTGGGCGTCCAGGCGAACAAGTCATTCAAACGATTGATCCACGCCTCGCGACTTTGGGTTTTCCGGTGTACCCTCCACTTCCTGCGGCTACTGACTGTAACCGTATTGAGGAAATTCGTCGTACAGTACTTGTCACCAATCTTGATCCTAAAGTTACGGGTGAAGAGGCATGTTTCTCGCATGTGTTTCCAATTTTCCCCGCTCAATGGGTTTGGGTTTGGTTTTTAGCTCTTTGGGTAGATTTTGCTTTTTAGTATTAGGATACACTTATTGTCCATAATAATGCTTCTATTTCAATGCTGTAATGCTCGAATCTCTGTATGAATGTTGGGCTTTCCATTTCACGATTTATATCATCCTGTTCGAATTGATAGTGCTAACAACCGTTTGTGTGTATCATACTTTGCAGCCAACTGACACCCGTTTGTTTGAGGTCGCTGACAAAGCGTGATAATAAGGGCTGGATTTTAGTGATATGGATAAATCTGCACTGCTGCGTTGAAGTATTACCTTATATGCAGATTTTTCTGTTTTTCTCTTGAGTTTCTTTTCACCAGCGTGTTCCAAAGCTAGACAGATCAACTTAAATGCACGGGTAACATACATATGATGGAGGGCTAAGGCCTGTTCTCACGGCCACGCCGAGTAAGGTAATGTAACAATCATGGTTAAGCTAGTTCTGCATTGAATCTATTAACTACCATGGAAATTGTGTTCTTCAGTGATATTTGTCCTTCTCTAAAGGTTTTCTTTGTCTAGGTTCTTGAATACTTCAATGCGCACGCAGAAGTAAAGTGCGTTCGTATGGCTGGGACTGATAATGAAAGGGCGGCATACGTTGAATTCACGGAACAAACTTCAATTCTCAAGGCTTTCGGCCTTATGGGAGGCACAATCGGCGACCGACAGGTATTCCTTGCAATCACATCAAGTCTTGTAGGTCATGGTTCAACATTCGAATTGTGCTATCATTAAACCCACAAGTAGTTTGCCCGGCCTGGATGACACCGTAAAAAGGACCTCTCCTCCTCACAATCCCCAGCTAAGTACCTCATGTGAGTACTTGCATCTCGAGGACATGATTTTTTTGTTTTAAGATGCCCTTAATAGCTTTCAAAACTTCAGCGCGGTTGCGGAGTCGTTCACGTTCCAGATCCCACGGTCATCGCTCCCCTTCGAGAAGTCGACGTCGTCGATCCCGAAGTCGCCATGGCCGTTCAAGATCGCGTTCTAATCGGCGTCGTTCTAGATCTCGTAGTCCTGATAAAAAACGCGGAAGTCGGGAAAGGTCGAGGTAAGTTAGCAGAATCCCAATGTTTCATTGAGAGTTGTACTTCGTATAGAGTTTCTTTTTTCTCTTAATTGAGATACGATTATTTATGTTGTAGGTCTAGAGGTCGCCGATCCTACCGTACGCGTTCCACCTCAAATCGTCGCACTAGTCGGCGTAGCCGTTCACGTGATCGTCATCGGCGGTCTCGTGACAGACGTGACCGAGATCGTCGCAATCGCCATGACAAAGATCGCTCAAGGGAGAGGACGCGCCACGATCGTCGTAGCCGCTCGAGGCGGCGGCGCTCCCGTTCACGTGGTAAGGACCACGGCTCCTCTCGTCGACGTGAATCGGTGCAAAAGGAGGATAAACATGAACGCCAATCTTCTGCGAGTAATTTTCGAGACGCTAAAGTGTCAAAAGAACGTAGCTCGAGCCGTGTCAGCCTTGAGAATGGTCAGAAACCCAAGAAGTCAAAGGACGAAGATGGGAAGTTGAAAGACTTGGAGTCGTCACCAGTTGATAAAGATTTAACTAATGGGGAATCTGGAGGAAAGGATACATCGCCCATTTCAAAGAAGCCAGTAGGCGTTAAGCTTGCCGGTCCCGAGGATGACATTGAAGGGTAATTTTATTCACAAGTTATTTTGTACAAATTGCACTGTTTTGATCAAACTCAATTGGAGTTTTAATAAAGTGTATCTTGTATTGCATACTTTTTTGGGGAAACTCAATGTCAGCCCTCCTGACTTATAGTTATTGAAAGGGAATACTTACCCGGCTGTCATAGTTTTCCTAGCGAGTTATTTTCGTGAATTTGCGAATCACTAGCTGTTTTTCGCATTTCAATCTATGATGATATACTTGCTTTCTAGATCGACACCCTCATTGCTGATGCAATTGTCTTTAGTCTGGGTCCTCCTCGTTAATCAAGAATCATGCCGTTTGAGTGTATCATTTATCTTTTTTCTTCCTCAAAAGATGTCAATCATGAATACTGTGGTGAATGAGTCTAGATGTTGTGTCAGCATCTTTAGAATTAGGAATTGGTACATTAGTGAGCTAGCAACATGTGAAGAGAAAATAGTCAGAAAAGAAGTGCATTCAGTCGGCATTCTTTATGACACGTTGTAATCAAGGATAGTGTAAGGCGCATATCCCTCTGATCCCTTCCGGTTGCGAAGGTGCTTCCAATTAAGGGAATCATCCAATACTTCCACGTATTCTCCAGCCTTTAGGGAAATTTCTTGCTCTCTTTCTGCGAGAAAATCACGCATCACTCGGGCAACCCTAGAAGACGATGAGAGTCACGATCAGTGAAATTCTGACTATCACGGCTAAATCCATCTATCAAGCCATCTCTAGACGAGTTCTTACTTCGCTCCTTTGTTGCGTAGGTAGTGAAGGTATTCGGCTTGACTTCGTGTTTCCGGTTCGGAAGCCAATTTTGATCTAGAAGCGCTGGGATGCTGAAAAAGGGAAGGATTTGTGTTATCAATTTGCTTTCAAAATTACTGACTCACCATACCACCGTCGACGGTGCTCCTCTTGTGTTGAGGTACGTCGAAAAGTGTGTGATGATATTGTTCGGGCTGAGGCTTGAATCCGCATTTGAAGTGAGGGATGTACGTTGGAACCCGTTCTTCCCACTGTTCTCTAGTAGTAGCATTAGAAGAAAATCAAGGTTCTACCCGCTTTTTAACAGTAGTACGTACATTTGACGTCAATTTGCACTCACTTTGGCAGACACCAACCGTTGCCCAGTTCACGCCAGAGACTAAGTTCGGGTTCAATGAGAGAGTTTTGAATGAGCCTGATTGCCGACTCAGGAAAGAGCGGGGAAATAACTTTTCTGGCCATTTCAGGCACTCCAGTGACTGGATCTCGAATGAAATCGACTGCCTGTCTGTAAACAGAAATGTCATTTATATATTATCCGGTAAATCGCAAGGGAGGAGGCGTGGCAAAGAAGGGGAGTTACTTCATCATAGAGAAAAGTTTGTGGGTAAGGAGCGGTGGATTGGGTTCCGTCACATAGCCTTGCAGTCGGGCGAGGAGAATTATGGAGAATTTGATCTTTTGGAACAAATCGACCAACTCTTCATCACTGATGGGAATTTCCACCTCCGAGGCCAATGAGGTACTACCTATCCAGGGGTAGAAAAATAGCTAACTAGCTTCAGAAGCTGTGGTTATGCCCAGTGACAGTATTACTGGGCGCTTACTGGTGACTCGAGTCATGTCATTCTTATCCTTATTCTTGGGTGAGCCAGTGCGTTTTTTGAAGATGAATCTGCGCTTCTTCTTCTCCTTGCCTTTGGAGTCGACTCCAGAGACGGAGACATTGTCATCTGAGGGGCGGGTTGAGTTTTGCCACCGCGCTCTTTGAAGTTTGTAGATGTGTCCAACATAACTTTCAATATCATCAAAGCACAAATTTAGTAGAATAATTTCGCCATCAATTAAAGCCTTTTCTCTTGACTGCTGAGGCGTTAAACCTGTCAAAAAGTGGGAAATTTCCAAATTACCCTCAAAACAGGAGGTGCTGCATCAAATGGGTTCACTCACCTTCATTTCCATTTTCGGGACTCCCAATGCTGGTAGTTCGTCGCGGTTCCGCTTCTACCCTGCAAACAACAAGAAACAGCACATCTCATTAGGTCCACCAAGACACAAGTTGAGTTTACAACCAACTCAACTGGATCGACAATTCGGTTTGGATTTAAAATAGCTCGATTTGGAACAGAAGCTGAATTCGAACATTTAACTAGTCAATAAATTGCTCTAACCTACCTCTAGAAGGGAATACTTTTTTAATTGCTACTATACGTCTGAATAGGTCTATGGCATATGACGATAGCGATAAAAATAGGAAAATTACATTTGTTATAGGATTACAGATTGAGTGCGTTGTAATACAAGTTCAGATAATAATGTAGTTTTATTTGGTTGAGCATACTCTGTATATAAGCTCGGGTGGGAGTCCAAGTTTTCCTGTTCGCCCTCCTGAGCGTCTATCAAGGCATCAACAATGTCGTGCGCAGGAGTGCTGATGCTCTGAAAAGCAAGGGAAGAGAATGCATACACTAACCATAATGATGGTGTGATTCACTCTTAAATCTAGGATGAGTTAGTTTAATGTGCTTATATCATCTACTTTGTGTAAATCAAGGCAGATTAAGCAAGTTTGAACATCTACTTTGGATTGTCTAGAGAAGGACATCCTGGATGCAAATCAGGTGAGTGGCGTAATGCCAGGCCTGACGCCTGGTGCTCATAGATGTGAATTTTTCAACTACGTGTTTGGTGCAGATGGATATGAACTTCCTCACCGATAATCCAAGTAAATTACCTGGAAGATGTGCATTTCATGTTGTGGAGGGCCACTCTTAGAGTGTATAGAGGCATTCACGTTGAACATAAGAAGGTTATTGAATGAATCTGTCTGATCATTGGACTCCTTGTAAATAGGCGTAATGATATCTCCCAAGGGAATACACTCACAGACATCCTGCCCAAAAGAAAGTGAAGTATTTGATGGTAGTTTTGGAAATTGTATAGGTTTTTCACCAAATCAATTCCGTTTTACCTTTCCATAATAACAGATTCATTTCCTAGGCCATCTGATTTTGACCACATTCACAATTAAAGAATGTAGAATGTAGCATGTGTAATAACGAAGACAACCTGTCAGACTTGAGAATATTTAGTCACTTCCCATAAAATCAGATATAATATGCATTGATATATTTTTATTTTGCCTGCAATACCGGATCGAAAGCACCTTTAGGGCATGCAAATCCTCAGTATTCAAATTATTGAATTTAATAACAACAGCAGAACCCACACGCCTTCGATGATTTTAAATAAATGACTGCTTTCAGGGTGAATACGCCTTCGTTTCCGACCGAATAAAACAACTTATTGCCTTAACAAAGCTAATTTCTTACTATCACAATCGCAAGAAGAAGTTGTAAAAATGTTTTCATATGTGATTAATAGAGCAAAGTGCGCATATACTCTGCTTGCCTTACTGGAAGATTACAATTCTGTAAAGGGGCATTACCGACTGTACTCTGTAAAAATAAGCTGTTTTATTATGTCTCTTCATCAGACATATCGAAATACTTCAGGTGTCATGTTGTTACTGTCTGTTGGAGAGTACCAAGGCACGTGTCTCCTGCTTGACGCTTTCATACCTTGGTTTAAATGAAGACAAACACTTAAGACAACACGTCCTGCATTAGGTACTAGGGTTGGTGTTACAAGTTGGTAGGTTTTTTGCCTAATATTTGTTATGATTATAGCTAACAAAAAACACGATTATGCCAAGTTTTCATATTTATTTCATCTTCTTTACCATCCCACTTTGCATTATAATGACTAGCTTGGTTGTGGTTTTAGTGACAATTGATAGGGTTCGCCACAATCATCCCATCATTCTCCCACCTCCTACGCTTTACAACTTATGCAGTACTAGCAATGATGACCAATTTTCTCGGGAAATTATGTAGAAGAATGTAAAGGTCTGTAATTGTTGACATAAATGCGGCTAGTTCTGCATGCCTAAGGTTGTAAGAGCTGCCTATTTTCTCCGACCCTGGACCTGGACGCAAATTATTACCTATAACTGTCTTTCACACCTCTTGCGTTTGTACAAATGTGTATGCAGATGTGTGATTTTGAAACAAACATCAAGCATCCCCGTTTCGCATGTATGCTTCAATCCAATCGTTACATTTCACAAATTAGTATAGTGATATGGATAAAATTGATCACCACAAATTTTATCATCGACTAGCATGCTGCCACTAGTGTAATGAAATTGAAATAAAGTGCAATCAAAACCTCTTTTCCAGCTCTCATCTTGTTACCATCCCATTGGTGAGGTGGTTGCCGAGATGCAGACACAGGGTCGTGTTGAGCATGTGACTTTTTGCCCTTCACATTGCTTAGCTTTGTCAAATCTATTCCTATTTCGTGCTCAAAAAAATTACATGGCAATTTTCCGTAATTTTACACCTTCATACTCACCCCAGTCTCGGAGCTAGTCACAAGCAACTCCTTTCTAGCTTTGTGCTCCCGAAGTATGAGTTTTACAGGCGTGATGGTCAGTTGCTTTTGTTCAGCGAGCTGACGTAGACGCTTGAGACTGGATTCCGGGTCAGGTGGTGGCCGATTAGCTGGCGTGACTAGAGTGCTTAAGTGCTCCGCTTCATGCCGCCAGTAAATTTTTCCACCTACACGAATGTCACCACCACCATGAGGATTAGGGCCTGTAGCTTGACGAGTCACTGAGTTTCTAAGATTGAAGGTTTAGAAAGAGGTAATTAGGGTCACGGATCTCCTGCAGAAGAGAAGTGCATAGCATGAGAAATTCTTCCATCTTTTTTTGGTCTAAACACTCAAGTTGCCTCTTGACTGCGTGACAAATAAATCGGATTAGACACTCCTAAGCCCTCTTTACGCCAACACAGTATGTTTCCCATAGTCACTGTGACTTTTAAGTAATTTTAATTCTCGAAAAAAATAGGGGAACTCGTACCTCATATAAAATGTGTAACAAAATAACTCGGGCAAGAAATGCATTAAAGGTGGGAAAATAAAGGAGGCTGTAAATTTATTTTACCTAGGTAGAGAAGTGGCACCGCTCTGAATTGACATCGGCGTCTCTTCTTACACAGAGGCTGAGATCACGAAGTAAAAGCACCAAAACACGATATCCAAGATCAGGCAAAGGCGCGGCAACCGTTGGTAATTCAAGGGGCAGAGGTAGGTGCTGCTCCGCGTGAGTGTGTATGGTGTGTGCGAGTGTGTGTGTGTTTGCCTGAGCCTTCGTGTGTGTGTGTGTGTGTGTGTGTGTGTGTGAAAGTGAGAGGTGCAATGAAGTGTGTGTAGGCACGGCGTCGATCCTGCTACCTCTGCGGCTGCTGTCTTGGCAACCTTTATCTCACTCAACCAATGTGTGGATCTGTGTAAAGGTGCGTGACTGAGTGGGTGAGTGGTGTGGGGGGTGAGGGGGGGGGAGGGAGGGAGCCAGTGGTATGCTCTAATTTACATTTTGTGTATATGCCATTCCTTCTTTGTTACATCTGCTTAAGCGCTCTTTGAGTGCCAAATAATTATCGCATCTGAACCAAAGGTTTGCACAAAAAAATTGTGTGAATTTGCAAGAGCATTGGAGGCATTAAAAGGTCTTGAGACTGGAGGCCAATTTTTGCCCAAATTTTAGGCTTAAAGTGTGTGTTAAAGTGCGTGACATTGTTGCGTGTAAATGCACAGCAGGCGATCATATTTCTGGCTGGATGAGAGTTCTGCCTCCACGTCAGTCGATATCATCTTTCCTTTGGAGGCAGTGGCAGCATTGCAAACACCGAGCAGAAATTGGCATCACAACTTGGCAGGGCATTTTGATCAAATTTTTACGCTCAATGTCCTTTTACGTAAGTTGACTGGGTGGGGAGAAAAAAAAAGCAGTCTCTCATTAAGCTAATTTTATTAGAGACCAACATAAGCGCACTCAGCCCAGTGTTGAATGGGCTGTCACGACACCAAATCGCAGGTTGACAGCGCTACCACCCACATTTGTCGAAGCGATCGACAGCTTATTAATTTTTTTTTTCAACTACTTTATATTCCATATCCGTCAGGCATACATTGTTGGTAACTCATAATGCAAGTCACTCATTTGATGCGTGGCTGTAGATCGTAGTGTTAGTTTATTTTTTTTTAATTCAGCAAGAATTCGGTTAGTTTGCATAATGCATTATGCACATTTAATTGGCAACACTTAATGGCACACCGCATTCCAAACAAACCGACTCCGACTCACAGGTGCTGCTGCAAGTGGAATGTGACAAGGTCATACAACAAGTAGTAGTGGGTAGTGGATTGCGATGAGTACTTGAAAGAGCACGATTGCAGAAAATGGCGCACCTCGTTTATGTGACCACTTGTATGTCTGGCTGTTACTTTGGTTTTCTTTTGACCTCTGGAAGCATTGGATGGACCCCGAGTCATGCAAAAGCCCAAACCTCTCCTCTCCGCCTCGAATATGTGTAGTCAGCCCAGCTTAATGCCCTCATTTGCCTTGTGAGAAGTCTCTGAGGCGCTGTGGGTTTCATGTTTAAATTGCAGTTCAGATAACCAAGACCAACTAGAAGCTGTGAAATATTTAGCCTCAAGGTAGCCACATAAAAGCCGGTGTCGGAGTCATGTGAGTTGCTTGCGTCAGTGGCGTTGAGTGGTGTTAGAATTGTGAAGATGGTGCGTTTTGATAGGCTGATTTTTTGTTAGAATTCTATAACAAATCAACATACTTACAAATTATATTGCAATTAAAATTAGGCTATAATAGGTCCACGCCTTTTAAAACTGCTTTAAAGCTGGACAGAGAAGCGAATATCGCGATGATTACACTCAATGTTTTATTTGAAGTAGAAAGTAAATGTAAAACTGCTAAATAGCTTTACATCTTCTGGAGGTATATTTATAGCTCAATTTATGGTCTCGAAGTTCTAATTTGCGTCAATAAATCAATCAAATACTAAGGTTTTGATTCATTTGTGACACGAAATGCTGTTGATGACAATTGCAGGGTCCCTCAAACGTATCGATCGATCGCAGTTGCCCTCTTCAGCCCCAATATGCATCTGGGTTATTGTGTGACGAACTCTATCGTGTTCTTCCCTCTTTACCTACTGGCATTCTTGAACAGGTAGAAATTGTATCGTGGAAATCCAAGCAAACAGAGTAAATTTTATTTGTGAATGGTGAAAGGCAAAATTGGAGGCAAAATGCAATTAGCATTTACTATGGTGCTGTTTGCTCTGCCACTCAGCAGGGACCATTCTCCTCGTATGGTCTCCTCGTACCCGTTCCATGGGACTTAAGGCAGAAGAGGAAGAGAATGGTTGCAAACCTTCTACAGCATCTTCGGTTGTCCACAACTTCTCTTCACTAGTACTGGCTTCCCCTCCCCCACGCCAATGTTTGTCTACATCGCTTTTCATCAATATTCCTAGTCTTGTGGATGAAGTCTCTAAAGGTAGGTGGGACTATTGGAGCCAAATTTATGGGTGCGCAGCAATCGCGAAATCCTGAAGCGGAGGGATGTAAAATCCCTATCTCTGGTGTTTATTTCCTGCCTCCAGTGAGTATTCTATAACAGAGAGAGAAGGAAATTATCCACCTAAACTGATACCTGTCTATCTATTGCATGGTACTATAAAGCAGTGACATGTAAGTTTGAAGAAGAGGGCAAACCTCCAAGCGGGGGAACGATATGGGAACAAGGGCGTCAATTTCAAAATTGTCCAATCGATAGGAGCCAGAAGAGGAACGCAACTCACTAGCTATTGGTGAGTCTGGTGATGTCAAATCGGCATGCGCTGGTCGCTAACACGAGTGACTTTCGGTGAAGAGAAGGTGGAGAGGGCGCGGGAGCGGATGAAGAGGAGGTTTAGGGCGAATTATGTCAATTTTGCGTGCGAGTGTCGATGGGAGACAGAAGGAGAACGAAACTTCGTTATGGATACACATACAACATTATGCAATTTAAAATAGACGGAGCAACTTATGTCCAGGACGGTAAGCAAATAATGGGAATTATGAATTATTCAAGACGCTACTTATTTTCTATCTCAGTAGTACTACATACGATTGTGCTTGTTGCCTTGTTGCAGGAGCACTTGATGTCATATTGAAATCATGTGAGTTTGAATGTATGTTTTTAGTCCTTAAAGTAATAGAAACAAATATCAAGCTTGCCATGCGGCCTCAAAAGTTTCCAATTTTTGTGGTGTCAACTTTTAGGCAGATCGGGTTTTGGTAGAGCCTCGAGATTCGCCCAAAGACGGGCATAGGGACATAGATCAGAAGGCTCACCAGCTCGGCGAATGCACGGCAGCCAAAACATTGAATTGCGTTGTCGTCAAAACTAGTACTTCGCTCAGTCGTTTCATAATCTCTGACTATCTAACAATTTCTCATCCTAGGAACGTAAATAAGGTGCCATAAGTAATTAACCGTGATTACTTTAAAAGTGTACAAGTCTCACGATACTTGCGTATTTGTATGGTCCACATATAGACAAGAAGGCTATCGACCTAACTCGGTTGATTTGGGTTATGCAAATTGCTGAGTTGACCATGCACATAATTACGCAGTCAGATCGCCCAGAGGCGCTATGATGTAGTTAACAGATACGACAACAACTTACATTATTGCCTTAATCACAAACACACACATACACACGCACAAGAAGAAAAAAAGTGAAGAAGAAAGAGGAGCGTTTGAACTGAAGTTGAGTTCAGTCTTTCTTGGGATGTCACTCAAAGTAAATGGGTCCTAGAAAGGTTTCTAATTACAAGCAATCAGCCCGCTGATAGCTGTAAATTCCTGACACTGAATGGACACGACCACAACCCACAAGCCACATTTAAAATCATCAGAATTTAGCTCGATGACGAGTTGCTATGATAATGCAACATCACATTCATCTTCCTGTTAAGGAGGGTCTCAATTTATTTTATGGAATGTGAACTAGATGGGTATTTGTCTATCTTTTTATTTACTTAAACCAACAGAATAGGCAGTGGAATTAGCGCTAATCAGCCGAAACTTCAGAACTCCAAGCCATTACCTCCATCAGTAGACGCTGGATACTTTCGACTTTTAAAACCCTCTGATAGCATAGTACTAAATACAGCCGTTTTATATGTTATGCCTTTCGATTTTGTCAGACGAACCACACCTCCCACCTCCCGCTAAAGCATATCTCGACGTTTAAAGCGCTGATTGGCTAATCCATTCCTTAATTATAATTGGTTATCGCCTCACCGCTGACTCACTATTGGTTAATTTTTACCCAAATTAAAAGTCTTCCAAAAGTAGCATTTATTATGCCTGCTTAACATAATGTCATTTTGCAATTAAGAGAAGAATCTGGAATGCAAAGACTACAACTGTACTTATTTTCAAAGTCAACTTTTGCAAGCGGAAATCTAACGACGGTTCAGCGAATTGAGTATGCATGAAATTTGCCTTATCAAGTAACCTACATTAGACGAGGCATCAAGGAAGTGGAGACGAATGTGGATGTGCAACGAATGGACTTGAATACTCTCCCAATCCTTGAGGATTCCCCAGCCCACCCCACTATCTTGATAGGCTTGCAAATTTATCGAACTGCTTTTCTTGCCTCACGTGCGTCTGTCTTTAACTCACAATTGCACAACTTATAAATGCATTTCCTCCTGACAACACCAAAATATGTGCAAAACTAATGTACTTTCACTTTTACCAAAAAAATAAATAAATAAATTATACAACTCTCGTGCATATTTGTAGATGTGTCAAAGAATACCAAATTAATATTTATTTGTGGAGGCTCCGATGTCAACGAGGACGTCAAGTGTGCACAAAAGTTGAAGCAGATGTCAAAAGCTATCAGCAAGAGCAGGTGAGACTGTTTTTGCAGAATTCACCCGCATCAGCCTGTTTGAGGTGAAATGTGCCCCCATTGACCCCTCCTCTTTGTGTTTAGTGCTGTTGTAACATTTAGTGAGTCGTTGAGGCGACGCTTCTTGCAATTTTGGGTGAGTCGTCAGACTTTTGCGTCCTCAAAACCGCCTTCACAGTTGTCGTTGTCAATTAAGTGACTCATAGGGTGGCACTTTTCTTTTTTTTTTTTGAAATATAAGTGATTAGGGGGAGACTATGCGGAAATGATTCCACCAAAATTTGTATTTCTTGCATTCACTTCAAAACAAAAAAAAGGAAGAAAGGAAAGGTCAAACACCCACCCAACAACTGAACAAAGACAACTCATCACAGCCTTCTTCATTCTTTTTTTTGTTTTATTTTGGAACTACTTTTTAGCCAAATTATCAAGGCATTCTTCGGATCATTCCACAGTGTGAGTGAGGAACAATTGCCACTCCATGTGCAATCCAACGACCCCACACAAAGGCGTGTCTACCAAAGTGTCACATTGCTTTGTTTTTTTTTTTACCCACAAAAAATTGCATAATTTGTGCTAGTAATTTGGTTGTTTCTAAAGTGTAAAGAAAAACAAACAAACAAAAAAGTGCTTTTACACGTTAGTGTGGAGTGCCTCCCCATCCACACACCCCGTCCGAGGTCATGACCCCGACAATCGGTGGTCAGTAGGCGTCTCAAAAGGCATGCCAGAGGATGTGAACAAACAATTGAGGTCCTTTTTTCCTCATTATTATTTCTTTTTTTGGAAATTAGAAGTACATCGACAGATTTGACTAACACGTCATTACGAACCCTCGTCCATGAAGACTTAAAAGTTAATGCCTGTAATTTGTGAGTAGGAGAAAGGAAAGAGGGAAAAAGAGCGAGAGCGAGAGAGAGGCGTTTTAACAATTCCACCTTTCAGCTGTCCTTGTCAACAGATTTGACGCAGCAGACATCAAAGGTGTGATTGCCATGGTGGAGTCACAACTTGACACACGGCTAGACAACTTCATCCTCCTTGTGGGTCGACTACGACCCCTAAAGGATCCCAACTACATTCTACAGCCATTTTTAGGTAAGACATAAGATTGACCACCTACAAAACTTAATTGTCATTCCTCTTTTAATTTAGAAGTTGTACAAAATATGCCAACACGTCATCTTCACCTCCTCTACATCGGTTCAATTGTTAGCCCTCCATTTGACTTTCATCATCAGTCACGCATTTTAGGAGGAGGATTGTGAAGAAATTCAATCCTTCCTATCCGAAGTGGACAAGTAAGTCTGTGTGCAACCATTTTGGTATGGAGGATGAAGGTGTTACAAAGTAAGACTTGAATAATAAAACAGAAATAAAAACACACATGTACACAAATGATGGACACAATTTGTGTTCTTTAAAAATGTCACCTTCAGACACAAATGCATGCATTGGATGGAGTCACTGCCACAGTCACAGGTGCATGCCTTGATGACTGTTGCGATATGCCTTGTCAATGCCTCCCTGAGTGAGGGTCAAGCATTGACCATCATGGAGGTGAGAGTGGATGTCAATGTCACCCCTCCCTACTTAGGCCATGGCACTTGGTTGTCCAGTAGTGGCTCGTAACATTCCCGCCAACACAGATCTCATCCAACACAATGAAACTGGACTGATTTTCAATTCTCCCACCGTAAGTTCTCCCTCCACCATACACAAAGTGGAAGTCAGCATTCCTATCCCATCGTTCTTGGCCTTAAGGAATTGAAGGCGTGTTTGGAGAGCCTCCTCGTCAACGAAGACTTGTATAAGTCAATTTCATCAAGAGCCGCTGATAAGATGCGACAACAGGAATTTCAACTACACACCGAAGCAATGGCCTACCTCAGATTGGTGAAGGACATTCAAACGATGGAAAGCTAAGGAGATACAATGATTGACACTGTCACAGTCACACATCCTCTTCTGTACACACAAAATGTACATGCGAAAGAGATGTGCTTGATTGCAAAATGACGACTTACACAGACACACTCTCCACAAATTGCACAGAACGTCAAGTTAAAGAAAAGACAGTGTGCTTGGAGCAAAGGGGGGAGTTTATTTGACACTCAACAAAACATTAAAATGTAGTATACAGAAATTTATACAACCAATAGACAGTATGTGGGTCAATTACACTCTTAACCGGTCTGATTGATGTCAAAAAGTCCGATAGAGACACTGGATGGTCTTTGTTGGCTAAAGGGGGAGAATGAAATTCTAGCATGATGAATTGACGAGGAGTGTGGAAGTCTGGAGGTAAAACTTCTTTGCTTCTAGACAAGTTCACAAAGCGAAATCAACCACAATGCACTTACGAATGGGTAAACACGACCGAAGTTGCCTGGATGGAGGTAGGGAGAACCAGATACGGAAACCGATAGTCTTCCATCGGACCTCGGAGGGTAGAGACCGCTTTTCTGAGGCGTCTCCAAAGAAGTACACATGGAGACCTCTCTGAATATCTTAAATTAACATCAAAAAAAAAATAAAGGCGCACTTAGCACAAAGAGGAGAGTAAATCGCTGACCGCCACTAAAACGGCTCTCCCAAAGGAAAATGAAAATGATCACCAGTCCCTTCAATCATAAACCCCAAAACGGACAAGGAGAGGCACACAACGTAGGAAGCCTCAACTCAACAACTAAACCAGTTGAATTAGTAAGATGAAGTGTTTCCACAAAGAATACAAACAAAGCTATCAAAGCCTACCTCGAGCGTGGAGAAGAAACTGTTCAGTCACTTGCATTGCAAGAGATTGAGCTAGAACACCAGACGATCGAAGCAGTTTATTCGGCCGTTTGTTGGCGTCCGCGCGACCTCGGTACTCAGAGGCGAGGAAAGTGGCTATTAATCGCAGTTGCCACATACACATTGGCTTGTGCCAGTTGGTGAGACACATTTGAATCTACACAGACAAGGAGGGATCGTAATGATGCCACCTTGAGCATTAGAATCACAAAGTGTCTAACAAAGGAACCTACAACTCCCTCAAAGTGTGCATGCGGATCGGGGAAGGGGGCCTTGGTGACGAAGAAGAATCCGGCCTCGTCCAATGACCTTCTACGCGGCAATAAAATAGGCGATTTACAAGGCTTGCACAGACCCAAATTCGCTATTAATCAACAAACTTGAGTAATTTCCATTCCGCGGTTCCGCGTTCAAAAGTGGTGGATACTTCGCCACAGGAGAGCTGAATCTGAAATTTGAGAGGCAAGAGTAATTTGTGAGCCCCGCTTCACGTAAAAAAAAAGAAAACCAAATTACTATAAAATGTAAATCTCTCAATACTGATGCAGTGGAGGGCCCAACTTACACCGGATCCACACTGCCAGAAGTCAGAGGTGAAGACAGCCGTCCGATTGGAGGTGTAACACCCAGGCCTATCCTGAAACAAACAAAGTAAGAAGTAAGAAAACCCTGACAGCAAAGTTGATCCAATTCCAGCCAGTTAACGATCCACAAGCTCTCCCCAACCTCGACAATCAGGCATGAATCAAATTAAATTGTTTCCCTCTTTCAACAAAACCACCTTATCTTGCATCGTGACACCTGCAAGAGACTCACTATTTGCAAAACTAAGTGCATTCAACAGAGAGAGCACAATGAACACAAGCAGGACTAACTTTGTACCAATACTTCAGGGTGACAGGCTCCACCTGGTTGGTTGAAACATTCACTCCACAGAGACGTCTCGGTTTGGTGGCCAGTACGTAGAGGTGTCGTAAACACTGCAAGTGATACCTGAATAGCACAAACAAAAGAAAATGCATGATAGTGTGAGCAATAACATGCATTGTGAAGGCTGTGGGATGAGGTTGTACGATTAGAAGTGAGGGGCACATTGGAATAGACAATTTGCAGACGTGGGCTCCCACAACACCCTCATTGTTCGTGCCTTGATTGGATTTGCATAAACAACACCTGTAAACTACACCAGACGTCGCCAACTTTAAAATGCAGTAATTATGCACCAAATCATGGGATTCAGTGAATTGACAAATAATTGAATGAGAGAATTTGTGCTTATGATGAAGGAGAAGAGAGGAGAGGGAGATCGGAGGAGTAAAACTATGTAAGTTTTGAATTATAATTGAAAGATTAGTGATGAGGAGGTTTTACAAATGTAGAAATGATTAGCTTACCAGTTATCACCTGCATAAATGGGATAACGTGGAAAGAAGGCGATTGTTAGCAAAGCCGCCGCCTCTGGAGAGTTCGAGAGGGTCAATCTAAAACAACGAGGAATCGGTAAAGGAGACAAAGCAAACAAAACACCTTTCATAAATATCGCCTGTACAATAGAAGGAGGAAACAATAGACATTTGATTTACTCAATGAACTATAAGGAGGTCCAACTATTTGCAATTCCAGTTGCCACATCGGTGATGTGACATTTCGGATGGCCTGGCTTTAAAGGTCTACTGTCTTCTTTAGATCGCACCGACAAAATTTGGATCGGACATGCACACATCCAGGAGAGACAGAGAGAGAGAGAGTGACGCTACACTATCGTCTAGCTAAGCGAAAGCAAAAATCCACAAAAAAAAACGAAATTTAAGCTCAAAAATGGACTTAAGTAGAGAAGCCAGAACATCAGCCTTTTTATTAACCCGCTTGTCCCAATTGGCAAAGAAGGGAAGAGGCGAGATATCCATTGAGAGCATTTGGATGAAAAAATGCCTCTGAAAAGTCTCGTCAGTTAAATCCGACCGGGAAGAGGCGGAGGCAAGTGACCTCCTCCCATTAACCAATTTGGACAATTCACTACGAGGTGTCTCTCAGACCTGTGCTGTGGTAACTATGTAAATTGTTAAATGGTACGTTAGGTGGCTACATGATTGTTAATTACATTCCTGTCTAACCACGCCTTGCCAGGATTGATGCTGAGCGCCGTCAAGACTACGAAAGTGTTAAGGCTTACCTCGCAAAATGGCTTCACAGAGTGAACCAAAATTCCTCCACAAAACAGAATACACACGTAGATTGAAGTGGCAGTACAGCAAGGAATGAACGTCGCTAAACGACAAAAGCACTGCCTTTGGAGTACAGTATTTCCGTATCCATCAATTCAATTCAAACAACCCCTTGAACAGGGGCACATCATCACAGGTGGTGGAGGGGGAAAAAAATGACGAGCTAACAGTTCGTCATTTTATGGATCAGTAAACCGATAAGTGACAAACGAGAAATACTACTGCTGAATGTCGTGCGTCACTCGATGTGGCTCACTAAAAACTGGCACAAAGCACCAAAAAATTTTACAAAAGAAGTTAATGTATACAACAGTCTCAAGTCAGTTGCACTGAGACAACAAAGTAATGTGGTCTAGGCTTGAGAAAAATGAGAACATTAGCCAACTCGCCTTCCTCCACCCAAAAACAACAGGCCGACAACACTGCCATAAATCATCTGCAGACCAAATTCCGGAGCCAACACAGAGCCAAGAACGGCAGCCGTTGAAACGGGTTGGTTGGCAGGATTGCTGTTAGGTCCCACCTGAATGTTGGGTGTAGTCTGTGCGACAGTGGCAGCCACCTGGAAGAGCCTGGCTGTCTCCGCGGGCGAAGGCCAGCTTGGCGACACAGCCGAGGAGACCATAACTGTCTTAGGACAGCGACCAAAGAAGCGGATGGCTCGCAGCTTACGCACCATTCGGAGAACAGTTAGATTGCCGGAGCCCGCCAGCACCATTGTCAGAGCGATGAGACAGGTTGCAGCGGCATATCGCACTGAGTGCTCCATGGGAGGTAGATCGTACAGTCGTGGTGGTGCATTGGTGATAAAGGAATTTGACAATGTTCTTGAAGAGGAAGATGTGATCGCAGTCGTTTCACTAAAGGTGGCTCGGTTCGGTGGCCACCAGTCGCCGGTGAGGATACTGATAGTCACCTTATGCTGATGACAATGAAAACGATTCCTGCGATCAAAACTGGGAATTCGCAATCAAAGACTACTAATTATAATGAATGGCATTTTGAATCATGAAGAAGTTAGTTAATGGACACATTCAAAGCATTCGTGAGGTTGTAAAATTGGTCAACTCAAATTCAACGAAATTAAAACGTACCAAAAGGTCCGCTGCTTCCGAATCGCAGGTTCCAGCGTATTTCAGTCCGATCACAAAGCAAGCACCAACGATAATATTCAGATAGGCTTGACTAAAAACGAAGTAATTCGACCACATTTCACTAACATTACCTTCAGCCACCCCAAAGTGAAGAGTACTGCCTTACCTAATTGTTGAGTAATCTACGGTTGGCAATTTGGAAGCTTCTGGTAGGGTGAATGGACTATGGGGCTGAATTATGGGTAGCTTTGGTGAAAGAGGTTGCCTTCGAGCCGGAATTCCACGTAGATTAGTCCTTTCACTGGGAGGTGCTCGACGACGTGGTTCTCTATTTTCCACATCAGTTTCGGTAGACATAACCAATGGTGACGTGGGAGCATTCATTTCCTCTGACGATGCAGCCCGCAGACCCTCCTTTAATGGCACCGGCATTAGCAGCTTTAAAATACACGCTGGAAGCCGAGCTTGTATCCACTCAACGGAGGCCTTCACGTCTTCATAGTTTACCAGACCCCAGGAAATTATACGAAGGGCGAGCATATCAGGCCGGACTAACTCTAATTCGCGATAGGTGTTTGGTGCCTGCAGCCAACTCGAAACTGTCTCATTTTTGGTGCCAAGATAAGCAAAACCGAGAGCCATTATGGCACCTGGAGCAGAAACATCGTTATTATAAGAGTCACGCTCCCTAATCTGTTGACTCTGAGTTGAATGACCTGTGGGACCGATTGGAGTCACGCGCTGATAGCGCGTCGAAAGTGACCCGTGAAGTGTTGAAGAGGACGTGGGAAGCGAATTTTCCACTGTCCTACCTTCTGCGGTCCGACGTAGGGTTTCTTGTATAACAGATTCCAAGGGATCCACAGAAGCAAGCATTCGATTCGATTCAGAAATCGAGATGGCGTTAGCAGAATGAGTTGCTCCAAGATGGTTCGGAAGACCCAAATCAGCAAGCTCCTCCGTGGGAATGGAGGAAACACAATTGGGTGTTGTGAGAATAGAGGCGTCACAGTGCGGTTTCTTCATTAGCATACGGGATCGACCCGAGACGGCCAATAGATGTGGTTGAAGATACTTCGCCAACGGACGACCTGCAAGCGGTCGAGGAATTTCAATGCAGAGGGCATCAACTGTCTGATCAGGACCTTCAAAACAGGCGTCCATTTGATAAAAACTCGAGTCTCTGCGCCCACCCGTCATGTATGCATAAAGCGTTTTCGCAACAGCTAGATCTGACAGTCCACATGGTGAATCGCCCCGCTAAAGTGATCAACAACGAAAATAGGAGTATCAGTGGTGATGACGAGGAGAATGATTGAGGTTGGAAGAACTTACTTGCAGTAAGACCAAGCCTAAAGCAAAGCCGGCGGAGAGAGATATAAGTTCGCGATTATCGCCAGCAAAGCCACCCGCACCGCCAGCAGTTGCTACCTTGGGATCATTAAAACCGTTTACATCAGAAACAGAAGGATCGTTGTTATTTGTGACCTCTCCACCAACTGTTGCAAGGTCGTTAGAAATAGCCGCATTGGCACCAGTGCCCGTTTGAGAGCAGCCCAGAGGTCTACCCAACTCCGTGAGCAGGATGCTAGCAATGTGTCGATGAGCAGAACCCTGGAACAGGAGGCCCAATCCAAATGCAGCTGCAGCCTGACACAATGAGGGTACGCTCATGTCCACCAAAACTGGCTCCGGTAACAACAGAGGCCGATAGTGGACAGCAAGCAATCGCAGAACACCTTGGTCCATGCTTCCACGTTTACCAGCACACAGACCTGACCGGTAAAACCAGCCATTGTTGTAGGATTGTTTAGAGGTTATTTCAAAAACCACATTAATTATGATGCTGACTTGGACATACCCAGTATAACAGCAGCATTGTTGAGGTCATGCACCTGAATAGTGAACTCCCGGATATGGTGAGGCGAGAGTTTGTTCAGATGACCATTCAAGCCGAGACCAAAGAGGAAGCCGGCTTCAGTAGGTGAATAGGGACACGCAGAAGGAGGTGTGGAGTTGAGAGCGTCTGCAGAGGTTGAAGCTCCGAGAGCAATTGCCTTGCAGTTCTGCACAATCCACGTGGCGTCAATCTGCGAATGCACATGTCAGACTGTTATTAAGCATGCAACAACCAATGTCTAGTGATTACAAATGAATTTCAAACCATTTAGTCTACCTAGAAGATGCGAGAAACGGGAAAGCACGTGCAAACAGCACACCCTGTCTGTGAATTCTAAATTTGACAAAATGTAAATATGGCTGTAATAGGAGCAGCGCTTTTGAAAGTCGAAGTCTCTGAATAGCAAAATTACTTTTCAACGTGTACTACCAACCAAGCCTGAGATTGACCATCTGCCGATTGAAAAAAGCATTGGATAAGGTAAGTAGCAACCGAATTTGTTGGACAGGGAGGGTAAAATACGTTTAGTATTGAAATACTGCAACACGTTCTACTAAGGTGCACAGAATTCCCGAGTCGCCGTGGTTTGGCTAAAGCGTCGATAGCATAGAGCTAACGATAGCACTCAACTGCCGCAAAGGGGAAAAAGTTTGATATAGCTGACTAAATGCACAAAATTAACAGCAGAGAAGCTTTCAAAACTGTTAATTACTTGACGCTCACTCTGGCCTCAGGACCACAGGGGACAGGCGCCTTAAACAAGGTAGAAGCTGCGTGATTATTCTCAGTTTTTCGGTGTTCTCACAGCCTTGTGTTAAAGCCATTCCTACAGTCACATACATTATAACTTCGTTGGTAAAGGAATCTACGACGTACAAATGGACGGCTTGGACTATTCTACCTGTGCTTTCGCTAATAAATATCGCTAATGAACACAAAAAGCAAAGTACCGAAGCATGGGGTGAGATCATGAGACCAGCGGCCACCCCATTATGAAACTCTGGCCAGTGTTGTGCAGCTAATACGGCAGGAGCGTGAGGCAGGTTGCTGGAGGAAACAGCAGAGGCAGCAGAGAGCGCAGCGCTGGAGGCTGTGGTTACCAACTGGCGTGCTACTGCACCTCCGCCCTCCGCGCCGGCAGTGGCAAGCGTGCTTGCATCAGTTGGGCTCATAAGACGTGATAGGGAGCAGGCGGTCTGCAATCAAACAGACAACGGATAGGAAAGTGGCCCTGTGAACAGCTACCAAGTTGTCATTTATAATGAGAATTAAAAGGAGGAATAAAGGCGACGGGAAGAAAATCATCAATGACGACAAAGCTCCTGTTCGGATATGTAATTAAATATGACTGCAAAAGATTGACCAAAAAACTGACAAGGTGCCAAGAAGTACTAAACTATGAGAGGCAACACAAAGCGAACAGGCAAATAAATTGTAACGTTCGTTTAATGGTTATTCCAAATTCAGTGGAAAACCTCACCTAACCATTAAAAATTAAAACAAAATACCTAGGCTAGAAACTGGATGCCAACGCGGAGCATGAAAGGAACCTCGTGTTTGTAAAATCAATACGAAAAGCACAAAATAGTGTTCCTTCCAACACCAACCCTAAGTGAACCAGCGCAACCAGTGGCCACAACAGCTGCTACGATAGCGAGGGCAGTGGCATTGCCAGGGTGGTCGGACGCAGCGAAGCCAGTAGTTACGTCGGCAGTTGGACGCCTGTTCTCAACCAAACTGCCCCGAGCCAGGTCTTGATGCATTGGAAGGGCAGAGAGGGAGGAGGAAGAAGCTACAACTCTGCCGCGGAGGCACAGCGGGTACACAACCAAGAGAGGTGGGGGTGAAGCCACTAGACTGGCAAGGCCTAGCATGCCCTTTCCCAAGGGCTGGGCTGAGGTGCGCAGGCAGGCAGCTGCCAGGTGCATGTCTAGTCGCGCTTTGGCGATATTTAAGAGAAAGGAGGCCTCGCTACTACTGTTGCTGGGTTGAGGAAACAGCTGTGGCCCAAATGCTGACTCGTCAGTACAGCTCCGTGGAAGCCAAATATGACTACTGGTTTGTAGCATCTTGTAGGCTTCCTGTAAACGAAGATCCTAGAAAGACAAACGTAAGCAATTAATAAACAGGGAATTGATACTAGCATGGAGAGGCGAAGCAACATACCTCGAAGGCAACCTGACAAGAGGAACTATTCTCCAGAGTGGTGAGCAGAAAATGTCTGGAGGCCATCATACCAACATAAGAACTATTCGGAGCGTTGTCAGCACTTGGAGTGGATAAGAGAGGACGCACAAGACTGGTCCAACGTTCAGCAGGATTTAGAGCCTGGCTGCAACTGTTCTCAGGCCAATCAGTATGACGAGAACCCACAGGGGAAGAGCATAAGATGTGGGAGGTGTGTTTGCGTCTGCTAGACAAGGGACTGGGGCTTTGCATGATTTCAAATTGACGTGCCATGTCAACACGACCTAGACGGATATGAACCTTGGATAATAATAAATTCCACGTAAATTGTGACAAACAGTGACGACACTCTCAATTTGTCTCAAAACCTATTACTATATCGAAAGCTCTAATCGTGAGAATATATTGCTGTACTAAAAAAAGGTTATTAATTATTCCGAAAAGTTTTTGATGTTTAGGCAACAGAGATAAAGAATGGAATCTGACCAATTAGGCGATAGATGTCAGGCGAGCAATTCGAGGGCGGACGAGCCAGACATTTGACCAGAGTGGTCTTAATTATACTGGCGTAGGCCGATGGCATCTGAGCCAATTTCTTCGACAATGGAATGCCTAGCTCATTGAGAAACAGAACTGCCCGCTGGTAGGAAATAACGCCTTTGGACACAGAAGTGGACTTTCCCATTTCTGCCTTGACAAACGCAGTCATGAAGGCAAGGAGAATTTGGTTTTTTGAGGCCTCGTTGATGATATCTAGAGGGGTATGTATAATAAAAAGTAATGCCAGGTATCCTTTACCCACACACAGTCTGCGATTAATCACAAGAAGTGATGGAATGGAAAAAGTGGATCAAAAGTGGAGCTACGTTGAAATGGGGCGTTGCAGGAAAGCAATCTGAGAGCTTCTCACCAGAGGTATCACTTTGCTCCAGCTGACTTTTCTCATAGCCGATCAGACCAATTTTGTCCGTCCAAAGGTTGATGATGTGACGGAGCGAATCAACACCCTGTCCTATAACTCCACTCTGTTGAGTGCATAAAACAAGAGTAGCTAGAGCAGCGGATGTATCGTTCACACCGGCAAGGTACAGATAGGGAGCAGGTGGATTCTCCTCAGACAGGATCGACAGGTACCACCGACTCAAAGAGGGTACCGTCCGATAGGCTAGTCGAGCATGTGATGACCAGAGGAGATATTCCATCATTTCTGCAGGCAATTGAGGGATCGAGAATAGGTCATCAGGAGTTAGGCTAGATAAACCCGACATTGAATAGTACTCGACGTAGGAGGAGAACCTTGCATACCTGCATGGAAGCGGTGGCGTGATAACGGTTAATTTACACAGTTTGTTCAAAAAATGTGCACAGAAAAAAACGTGTTGCATCTATGCTGCCAGAAAAGATTGAATTACAGAAAACACGTCATCAAACCAATTAGCTACGAAGAAGGCAAATTTTTATTGTTTCTAAGAGCAAAGTAAGTAATTCAAATCCCATGCATAAATGCTAATCCTAGGTAGATGTGTTTTGCCCAAAAAAAATGCAACCAGCTGCTTACCTAGCAAGAATGTGGTTTACAGCAGCCAAAACTCTGATCTGTTCAGTTAGGAGCACACTGAGTTGATCATTCTGGATGTGAAAACAAACCCGTTAAAGAAATCGAAAGCCGTAGCATACCTCAAAGACCATGTGGAGGCAGAACAACACATCTGGTAGGTGGCACAAGATCTGCCATCGCATTAAATCCCTGCCTTGGATTGCAGAAACAAAATCCACGGGAGAACCTTCCAATCTCTTTAACAGTTCACCGATGATATCATCGTCCTCGTGAGTTTCTAAAGAGATGTCTGTCTTCTCTCTTAGCCGCTTTATGTTTGCGGTATCAGTTTCTACAGGAGAGGTGGGAACAGAATCACTTTCGGAAATAAGGCCGAACATAATGAGGAGAAATCGGGCAAAAGAGGCGAGTTCACAGGTGCCAGTGTCGACGTTTGGGGGATTTCGATAGCAAAACCACCGAGACAGAAGGTACAGAGCCACCTCTCCTGGCAGACCAAATCGAAAAGCGTCCAAACAATGACGAACTGAATGAGAAAGAGCAGTCTATCATTGTTGATAAATGTTAGCCAAAAAACGATAGGCAGTAATGATAGAGAGCCCAAAAGATTTAAACCATACACCAATAGTAATTAACTCCAATATGTGGCTTATTAGATTCAGAAGATAAGTTTTAAGGCCCCCGTGCCAAAAGCCTAGTCGAAATAGTACGGCGCCTTAAGCACACTTCTGGTCAGTAACAATGATTGACACCTAAAGAAGACTAGGTGTATCAAATTCAACCCAATCACTCCTTAGGGTGATAAAGAAGGTAAATAGTAATAACAAGCTACAAATTGAATGATCTCAGAGGAACATGAATTTAGACAAAAGCTGAATTTCTTACCAAGGGTGATGTTTGCGAGAAGGGGTAGATGTATCTCCAGTCCTCTTTCAAAAACCTGAAATCGGATCTTACAACCCTCTTCATTACTTTCCTGAACCTGTTTCATAAACGCAAGCGTAAATTGGTGCCCTGTCGGCAGGCACAAGCGCCAAGTTGAATCAGACTTCGTCCCCAACGAAGTCACAGGCACAGAAGACAAATGTGACGTCTGAACAAAAAGAGGCTTTACAAAAATATCTTTTACTAAATGCTTCTAAGTACGACAGTTTTAAAACCTACAGTAATTTCCAAATTCGCATGTAATTGGGATTCTGAAATAGCTGGGACGTGGCCTCCATCATTTAATTGTGAAAGCAACCGCGCTATTTTAGCCTTGGCCAAAGACACATCGACATCGGACTTAGGCGGTCGAACAGAAAGTGGACGAAGATTGCCTGAGTGTAATCCTGCTGATGATGGCAATGGGGATACCAATGCAGGGATCACTCCAAGTATGCATACCTGAAATTCAGCATTCAAAGTACTCGTAGAAATAAGGTCGAGGAAAAATTTGTGGAATGAAACGTACGCTTGACTTAAAAAGAAAAGCGGAACGCCAATTCTTGCTATTCAAAAATGAAACTACAAGGATAAGGGAAAACGCACCTTTGTAATACCCGAATAGAGAATAATCGACCCGTTTGGCTCCAAGCACGCGGTCAATCTCGATTCTGGAACATAAACCGCATCAACAGCAGGAAGATATGATACAGAGGAATCTGATAGTTGCTCATTTTCTTTCAAAGGCTCGACGTCATTGAGGCTTAGACATGTGAGTTTTTGGTTTCCGCTGAGAAGGCAGACATAGAATCGATCAATCAGGTCCCTAACCAAGAAGACATTCGGCCTTTGAGGACCCATCTTTGGTGTTATTTGGTAACTTCGGCCAGCTTTCACATTCTGTTTAATTTGTATTTGCGCTTGAGGTAATGAGGGGCGGGCGGCGGATCGGGAAGATAAGGCTGCAACACGCGGATGCACAGGTGGGCTGGATGTTTCGTCTAAAAATGGAATCTTTTGAGAGAACTGAAGTCTGTTCTACATAAGTTTGTAGTTCGCAAAAAAGTAAAGCATACAAATCAACGCCTAAAGATTACGAGAAAGAGTTGCAGCCGTACCCAGACGTAGGGTAGTTTGTCCTTCGGACTTTTCGGTCCAAATGAGGGTTAGGCAAACTTTGGGAAGTAGCGGCTCGTCGACACCGAGAGCACCACCCTCCAGATCACCTCCGTGAGAAAATTCAAAATGAGGATGTGAGGATGTTGCGAAAACGCCAGGAATCGAGGAGTAACCGAGGTTCACTGAATTGCTGATTGAGAAAAATAACACAGACTACAACAAGCTGTTTGAACGTAAATAAATCACAAATAAAAGCAAACAAATAAGACGCAGAATGCCAACTCAAATCCTATTTGTTTTTTGGTTCCAATTTCGGTTTAAACTATTTTCCAATCGTATGGAAAAATCTAAGAGTAAAAATGATGAACCGAAATGATTCGCTACTATAAAAAAGATGCCGAAGCGAAAACAGAGAAACGATTCTATCAAAGCAATGACGTCACATACTGCCTGCTTCGCGAATTGTTAAACAAGCCGCCGCTTTTAGAATTGCGTCGAATTTTTCGGAAAGACTGGAGAGGCTCCGACCCAAAAGTCGTGTTCTGGAAGCTACTTTGAGTGATCAAATGATGAGTATCATCGACAATCCTCTTTGACGGGAAAAAACTAACTGCAGAGAGACGCCTAATGTGCTCATCCAAGTCAACTGGTTGAGAGGTTGATGTAGCCAGGTCCTTTCAAAATAAAAATTAACAAAACCAAAACATCTTCCTATGACAACGAGGTGGTGAAATCGAAAGCACTTACTGGAACACTTTCACTGCTATCGTCGCTGTTCGAGTCTGTAAAGATAGAAGCCCGTGGTTGAGACAGGGGCGCCCTTGCCATCTCTTTGAGCTTTTGCAACGAGGCCCTAAATGGGCTAAGAAAGGGAGAGGAGCCGATAGAGAGGTGTTGAAACCGATGTCGGAGAGGCGTAGTCTGACGAAACGTGCAAGAAGTTATAGATGGATTCAAGTCAGCCGGAGTGGAGGGAGCAGCCACATCCAGTTGGAGAGGCACTGCTAAAGATTCCGGAGCCACAGTGATTCTGCCGTCATCATCAATCAAATAAAGATGGGCGTAATCCTACGAAAGCAATCACACATATTTGAGGATAACCCATACCTCAACCTGAGCCTTTTCAAGCCGCCAAATCGAATGAAAGCCTGACTTTTTGTTAACAATAACAACGAGACCAAGGGTATCGACGATACCCACGATTTTTTGGTTTTCATCATTTGCAAAACACATACGTGCCGAAGAACCGTTAGCACCTTCACAACCAATATGATGTCAACCTACATCATACCTGGTATCTTTAGTAGAACAGGACTCATTTCATCAAGAGGATGAGACATTAAAAAAATAGTAAACAATGAAGGAGAGTCCACAGAGACACTGGCTGCGTGAAAAGGACTATTGAGCAAGTTGCTCGGACCGACACCCAACACTGGGGTTTGGCGACAAGCAGAATACCTTTCAGAGCACAGTATACGTCTTTCCAAAAGGACACCACATCTGAGTGGCCATGCAGCTTCCACATTAAAAGGCAATCTGGAAACATACGAGGTGCCTGTATCCTCAACAAACGTGCAACGTTGCGACTCGAATACGGCTATTCCCGATTGGATTCGCCCAGTTTTGGTGATATCAGAAGAGATCTAATAACAGCACAACCGTAGTATTAAGTAAGGCCTCATCAAATGTAAATCAGCCGATAGTTCAAATATATGCACCTCAAATTCGTCTAACTGATTCGATGGAAGGTGAAATGACGTCCAGTGTGCGTCTATGATTGGCGTTTCCATGGTTAACAATAGAAGAGGAAAACGATGTGATTCATCAGATGTTTTGCTCCACACTACTTCCAAATCATCGACGTAAAGTTCTTCGTTTCGTCCCCTCCGTGACCGGGTTTCCCACCATACCTTGTAAATTAGCAAACAACACTTCATACTTTGTGCTCCAGCTTATCATTCCTGTTTGACTTATAAAGGTTTGTATCATTAAACTGAAACGAAACCTCGGGAAGACCCTTGTCAATTGCAAAGTTGGCCGAAATCATGTTTAACGACATTTAAGCAGTGGGACGAGAACATAAAGCTCTGAACCAATATGTTACAGAACGCGCCCCAGATGCTTAAAATTATTGATTATTAAATTTAGGAAATAGTCACGACTAAAATTCTTGACTAAACACAAGCATAAGGTCCAAAATTCTCTTCAATTTTAACTTTTAATCGAGGCGGAAGGGGATTTATCCAACTCACTAACATTTTCAAAATAAGCTTTATATAGGAAAAAATTAAAATTTGCCATTGTAGAAAATTTTATGCGCGAGTTGTTTAGAATGGCTTTTCATGGTTATAGGCTGGGGCTCAGCATATCTCAAATGTGTTTTTAATTTTAACGCCTTGGTTACATGCATAGGATCAAAGACGCGAAAAATGACGCATGGTTCGAGGCTCAGATTACGCGCGCAAGTGTTACACGAATTTTGAAGTAACTTCCAGACATCAAATGAATACAAACAAGGTGCTGCGTCACTAACGTTACTACGGAACAGTTGAAGGGATCCTTAGTTCACTTTTAACAAGCGCTTTAGCGCTCTTTGCATAACATAACACTTAATACCCTTCACATTTAACGTTTCCTTAATAGTGGGTGTGAGGCTTTGTTTATGTGACCCCCTGACTTTCGGAGATCACTAAGATTTACTGTGTAGCGCCCCGAGAATTCCCACAGAGTGGAAGGAGGCGGTAATTGAGGCTGGATACTTCTAATCCAAAGAAATTAGAGCAACTGGGTCTGAGCATGGCCTGAAGGCCAGCCCATAGGTCCAAGGGGCAAACTAACATCTGGTAGTCACATGAATAAAGCATCACACAGCCTCCTCTCCTCTCCCCCAGTCCGTACACCTCCCGTACCAGCCATCACAACATGCTCGGTACTGCAAGAAAGCACCCACCAGCAAACCGCGTCGGTCGACCAATAACGTGAGACTGAGGAACCGTTCCTAGTCTCCTCTACAGCTTCAACTCGATCTGGAGTTAAATTCGGCCTGACAACCCGATTAAGTGTCGTATATACCTGTTGACCATCAATTGCTTCCAGGAATAGATGGTGGAACTATGGTCTGCAACAGTCATGTTACAAGGAAAACGGGATGAGCCAGATGGTTTCCGGTGGTGTCGCTTCAGTTATTAATAGTTTATCTGTGGAACACGGGAATAAGGTGAAGCCAAATGTAGACGTCAGTCTCAATCTTTTCGTTGGGAAGGATTGAGAGACTCTCTGTCACCGATGCAAATGCGCTTCTTCCACACAGTAAGCATATGCAGCAAACTGTACGTGGTAGGATAGAAGTAGTTGGAAAAATGTTAGGTTCGCATTCCGCTGTAGCAATAAGTGAGGCTGGATATATGCATTCCGAAGAGAACAGAGCAAATGAGCCTGGGCATGACCCGAAGGCCAGCATACGAGTATAAGGACCAGACGAATCCTCAAATGACCACCGAACCTCAGGTAGTCACAAAAACAAAGCATTACGATCTGTCCTTTGTACGTGTGAACTGGCTTTCGGGCCATGCTTAGGCCTTGTCGCCTTTTTTTCTTTGGAATTCGTGTATCCGGCTTCACTTACCATATGAACTGTCCTTTGTATGTAAAAGGCAAGCACACTACTCCCGTGCCATGCTTAAGAAGCATTCGTCTCCATCCCTGAAATTTTGTCTTTAATTTAATCTCACTTTTCTTGTGATAATCTTTGTGTAGCGTCCCGAGGCTTCCAATGGGGTAGTAGAAGGCATAAGTGGGGTTGAATACATCTATTCCGAAAGCAATGGGAGAAATGGGGCCTGAGCGTGGCCCTAAGGCCAGCCCACGTGTACAGGGCTCAGACAAGTCCTAAAGCGACCGCCAAACGTCAGATAGTCACATAAACAAAGCATTACACTTTGTACAGCATATTTCACCCTTACTCTTTCAAACAATAAAATTTGTATATGAACGTTCATGAATGATGCGGGTAAGCTTGGCAATTTAAGATTTGCTTTATGACTCTTCCTCTTTCCCTGTTGTCGAACACGCACAAAGGGATATGGGAGCCTGAGGAAACCTTGGTCGACATTATAAATTCCACTTAAATACCTAGTGGGCCTTGTCTGCAATAATTTATCAGCAGGAATTCAATTAAAATGCTTGCTGGAGAGGCAAACGTGAATTACTCATGGGCCACGATTGAATTTGATCATTTTTTTCTCCCGTTAAACTATTGTAATACATACTAGTTTGTTTAAGCGGACTTTTATTGAAGAGAGGCGGGAACCAATTGGGAATGCGGATCACGTGCGCGAAGACGGTGAGCAGTCTCTCTTCTCTTGTTATCGCCTATTTGGCTCATCTGCATCGCATTCCTCATTCCTCCTGTAACAAATGCATAATAAATAATATAAAACCAACACTCTCTTGAAGTCCAAGGTTCAAAGGCGAGAGTGTAGGCAGGCAGCTCTTACTACTATATCAATATGAAATGCCTATCTTCGCCTGAGGACGTAATTAGGAGGAGCTTGAGCAATGGCATCAGGCCAGTAGGCCTTTCTGTTCGCCATCAATGTACATTTTTCGCCCTTATTGTGCCTCCTTCCATCATTTGTCAGGTTCATTTGCTCTACATTAACATTCGTCCTATTGCCCAATATTTTTGTGATGCATTATCTCTGGTGTTTCACATGTCGTTGCAAGTTAGAAGCAGGTTTAAAAAGCAAGCGTTGTGTTGAAAGGGTCGTCAAACGCTACTTGAGCCTCGCTTTTGGTCTAACATTTCTTCTGCTTCCACACTGTTGTTCCCATTACCTTGAGATGTCGAATAAAATGTTTGTAAGCGGTCCGAACCCTGAAAGAAGTGTCGAGATGGAATTGTGTGATGGCAGGTGGAGACCGGCATTTCGTGACTAGGTATCTAATTAGCGTATTTTTATGCTTTATAATGTTGCAGTTTGTAATGCTTTGTTTATGCAACTACCTGAGTTTAGGTAGCAAATTAAGGATTTGTCTGGCCATTTTACTCGTGAGCTGGCCTTCAGACAATGCTCAGGCCAATTTGCTCTGCCCTCTTCAGAATACATGTGTCCAGCTGCACTTACTGACTTCTTATACCCTCCAGATAGTCTCGGAGCTCTACAAAGTTGACAAAGGTAGCATGCTTGTAGCTGTAATGCTTTGTTTATGTGACTACTCGACGTTTGGCGGTCACTTTGGAATTTGTCTGGCCCCTGTACATGTGGGCTGGCCTTCGGACCACGCTCAGGCTCCATTTGCCCTATCGCCATCGGAATACATGTATTCAACTCCGTATATGCCTTCTTCCACCCTATGAGAAGCCTTGAGACGCTACAATAGCGTCCTGATGACTTCCGCTAGGCGTAAGTAGGCATTTTTTGTGACTGAGGAGAAAGGACCAGGCTTTTAATTGGCCCGAAGACAAGTCTCTATTTACAAGTGCAAAACGTATACCAAAGTATACGATGGTCTACAAGTAGTCATGTAAACAAAGTATCGCACTTTGTCTCTGCATTTAATATAATATCATGCAAGCAATATATATTATACCCTGTACATGATATTTTTAATCGTCAAGCTTCCTAGAGGATCTGGAATTTTGAATCTACTAGTGTAAGAGATGCCTGAATACCTTCTGGTTCCCGATCCTCAGACTTTAAGAGGCAGTTGGTTAAACGATTTATTAGGTATTATTATTAGGAAGGGTGGGGAGTGGGATACGGATGAGGTGAGTAGGCGATATCAATCGACGGGAGACTACTCGTCGACATCACGCACGTGATTCGCGTTTCCGATCCTCACCTATAAAAATTAACTTAAACGAACTATTATATTTATTACAATCAGCAAAAAGGCTTCTCAGATAAAACACTTTTATATTTGGCGTTTTGAGTAAGGTCAACTCCAACCTAGGCGAATGGTTGGTATGGTTGATTATAACATGACGAATAGGCTTTGAAATTGTAGTAACAAAAATCAAAGTAATCATTTAAAGAATAAGGCAAAACATTAACTTGGGTTGTTAAAATTTAACTTAATATTTTGCAGCATTTGGCCATGTTAATCTTCATATGGTCGAATTGGTGACCTTGAGACGAAAGTCTCATTTGTACCTACCACGGCTGTGGGTCTGTAGTTCCAACGTCGGGTGGCTTCTCACGGTACGCCGAGTTCTGTGCTAGAAACTTCATGATTTCTTAAGCGGAGTCATCACTTTTTTTGAATAGTTTCTAAGCCCACTTTTAAATGCTAATTGTTACCTCATTCTAGTTGCGCTGAAGTGGTTGAATCATTCTAAGTTTAGCATGGCTGGATCAAAGATCCGCAGTCCGAAACGTTCCTCGGCTGTCACTTCACCTGCCGGCTCTACCAGTTCCCATCAAAATCCTAGGGACCTGTTGAATCAGGTACACTTTTATTTTTGTACATATTAACACTTCTAGGCAGCGGAATTTGTTAACTGTTTCCAAAATAAACAAGCACTGCGTTTATATGCGTCTGCACTTTCCCAACTCGATCGTCTACAACCGACAGAGGAGAACCAAATGCTGAAAATTGAAGCTCTTCAGTCCTTTGGTTTTCTTTTGCTTGATGAAGGAAGGTTCGAAGAGGCAAAAGAGGTATTTTGTCGTCATTTATAAGACTTTCAGAATCTTCAAAAAGCCGTCGAGCTGTCCCCAGACGAAGGGTATGAGAAATACATGTACTTGGCTCAAATGTCGAAAGGTTCAGAAGCTGTGGCTTTGTACCAGGTCGGCATCGATATTATCAAAAGATCTCTTGAAGTAAGCATGGATCATTGGTATCATTGTGAAAATATGCTTTGCACTAAGGCCACATTCGATTGATGCGAAGACCTCTGGCTAGTCAATTTGACTCCTGTCATTGCCATTCTATGCGACTTTGCTCAGTGCATTACCTCATTCGACTAGCTGATACTCGGTCGGTATCGCTTATCTTTCTCATTTCCCATTGGGAACTTTTGTTTAACAGTTGGAGTCGGAGGCTTCTCGGAATAGTTTAATTTATTCACATTTTACAGGCTACAAGTGAAACTGATATTTCAATTCAAGAAAAGCTAAAGCGTGCCTTGTCAAATGCCTATTGTGCTATCTCGGAAATCTACACTACGGATCTGTGGTAGGTTATTTGTGTAGTCTGGCTCACTTTGCTTCTTTTTGAAGTGATGAACCCGAAGCCGAGTCATGCTGTTTAGAGGCGGTTGAAAATGCAAAGCAAGCGGACGAAAGTAATCCCCAAGCCTGGCTCTCCGCTGCGAATGTGCTGGCCATAAAAGCTCGAGACGATGTAGGGTTCCCTGTGCTACTTAAACTTTTCTGTTCTGCTGATTTCGTTCTTTGGTTACTTTTATCGTGTTCAGCAGTCTAATATTCATTCTTATGCCTTATTAGGAGGCTAGACAGGCCCTGGAAAAGTGTCATTCACTTTATTGGCCTCGAGTAGAGCAGGCCATTTCAACTATTCGGTCTCGTGAAAGTGGAAGCGCCAATGCTGTTGATAATGACGAAGAAATTGGCGCATTCGATTTGGAGGAGGTAATCCACTTTTCCAACCTGATTTTCATGTTTTCAAGCTTTCGGGAATTCCCTTTGGAGCACACCTTCAAATGGCCACATTGATGATGGAGTTGGACATGTTCGAGGTGAGTGGTCTCAAATCTTGTTTGTGCAAGACTTACTATTGATAGTTGATGAACGATGTTTCCGCCGTAGCGTGCTGCGGAGATTCTTGAAGCAATGCTTGAAGAAGATGACGGAGATGTTGAGGTATTTGCTTCTTGTACTTGATATTGTCAGTAGATCTTTTATTTTCTCACTGTTATTGGGAAGAAGCTTTGGGTGAACTCTGATCCTGACCGATTGAGGCACGTAGCCGAAGCCACCAGAGAAGTATGTTAAGTATTGACATGAACGTTATTTAAAAACTCATAGCTCTCGGCGAAAAATGGCGACATCGAGACGGCAAAAGAAATGGAAGAACTCCTCGCTACTCTTCCTCGAAATGGTAAGAGTCAGTTTTTAAAAATGAAATAAATATCAAATATGGCTGCTTTAGATTCCGACAGGAGAGAGGAAGGTGACGATGATACAGAAATCTCGTCCTCAGGGGAAGATGAAGAGGCTATGAACAGTGATTTAACGTGAAACTCCAGTGCTGCCTCTGTAAATTTGCATTCACGGGACCAGTGTCAGTAGCTCTGCTCATTCCATGTAGTTTTGCTATATAAAGGTCTAGTGGATGGTTGAATATGGCTTATTCAGTTTGGGTGCATTGTGCGGATGTCGGCAATGACGGAAGTTCGACATTAAGTTTTGGGTAGAGGCAAGCGGGCTGGTCCACATTTGTTTGTCACTCTAAGTTCGTAGGTATTTTAGCTCCCAGTGGAATCAGCTCTACCTGCTTCGTAAAGCTACCAATGAGCGTGAGTTGCAAGGCGACGGCATGTATGGCGCCTTCTCCTGCTATCCACCGTGCATTGTCGCTTAACGAGGGTTTCCTACCTTTATTCTCCACACATTTAATCAACACTGCGGACGAGAATTTGATCACATTTCGAAGTTTCTACTCTGCTCTTACACAATCACAGCTGCCATTATGTGATTGGCTCGTATAGTGGGTTTGATGCTCAAATTCTCGTACTGTCTGCTCTGTCTGGTTTTGCGCCGGAAATCAACTTAACCGCGAGTACTGACAATAAATGGTCTTCGAATGACTGTGTTCTAATGTGGTCTTTTGGTTCTCCTGATAAGGCTTCTCATTTGGCGAGAATATAGGAGACGGGAGGGATCGGACTCCGGCCTGACCCAAAGGTCAAGGGCAAGATAAATGCCCAAGTGACAGCTAGCCATAAAAGTATTCACACAGACAAGGTTTTTAGAGTGATCCTTGAAGCGAACTCAATTGACGCTCGTATTGTCTCCTTCTGCTGATTAATCCACACTCATCTTCACGTTACCGTTTTACTTAGTGGTCAATACAGAGCCCCGGATCCCACTCCAGGCTCAATTACTAAATAATTCTCATTATTCCATGTAAGTTCGAAAAGTTCTTGAAATCGAGCCCTCAGTCACCCCAATTTCAGAAAACTAGCGCTGACGGCGACAAACCAACAGCGTCCGCATTGAAACATTGTGTGAGTGCACCCCTACTGATTCACAAAGTTACCTGGGCTGAGAATCTGTTTGTCACCATCTCAAGGTTATATAAACACACCTTGAGGTTCAGATATTCACATATTTTGATATGAAGTGAAGCAAATCATCTAATTAAGACGGGCTCATGGGCATGCAAAAGGAAGGAAAGTAGTTGATCCGGACAAGTCTTGTACTTTGCAAACATCAAGCCATTCGGGATGTTTCGAAATTTGTAAAGAATATTTGTTTGGAAGCAAAAGCATTTCATATGAGAAGGTATTTCTGTGGGAAACCCAGTGAATGTTGCGAATGAGGGTAATTATAGTTGGTGTAAATTGTTGGACTAAAGTTATTTTATAAGGAATTTGTGCAGAATGGTGGCCTTTTTAGTGGTTTATGTTGCAAATGTTGCCGCTTCTGACTAAATTTTTTATATCTTTTATGCATTTTCCAGTCTGAGCAGATGAAATTTGACATTTCAAGGGCAGATAAGCCAAACCGGTAACCAATGTAGCTGTTTATTTTTTTTCAGAACCACCCTGAAAATGTATGTAGATAGAATGTTAGAGCAGGATATGTTGTCGACATACTGAGGTCTGGTTGTTCTGGCGGAGGTACAATGATGGAAACCTTAGATGACACTGAGGTCATGTCCTCGTGTTCATGTCCCCTCAGTTGATCTCTCGTTTCAGCCACCGCGGCTTATTCGAAGCCATTTCAACCAGGCGTCAGATTTTCATGCAAATGCGAAGACACTTGGGCTCAACATCACTATTGACACTTGACATTTCCGTTGGAACTGGAGTTGTATCCCTTATGGACACGGTACTGAAGGCGAAGGATGTGCGGCCTATACACATATACCCATAACCAGTCGTAAGCGCAATGCTTCAACGGCAGATTCGTGTAATAAGAGAGACCTTTCTCCCCTATCCCTCCTTACCACATTTTTCCCTCTTTGGTGCTCCTTACCCATTCGCCTACCCAAAAGCTGGAAGAAGCATGGCGTGTCCACATAACTGGTATTTACCTATAGGCATATTTGATATCCCTTTAATGAAGTCTTCCCAATTATTCACACTCCTCCTTATGCCTTAAATGATCGCCATTTTCAGCTTCGCTTCTTTTCTCTGTATTGCAAAGGATTACCACTTGTCAATGGAAGTCGAGATGACTTTGCCGTTGGGGGCCAGATCTGTTTTTGGTGTCACTATTGAAACGCCTTGAGAATCCCCTGAATGCAAGAAGCGATAAAACACTGAATTGAGCCCTCTACTGTCGACTTACACTAGGGCTTGAGAAAACGGACATAAATTGGAAACGGGGTTACGAGGCGGTGAGTCTAACAAAGGATTTTCAGCTCCCTCAGTTTATAAGCCTCAAAAACGTGGATTGAGGATGGGTGAGAACGTTACCTGACATGGTAGTCATGTCTGACAACTGAAGAGAGTCAATTTGCAAATGGAAAGACCTACGGACTTGTAAAGAGTATCCCACCTAAGTGTACTTCATTTCTCCCAGATGTAATCACTTCACTGGGGGTGAGGGGAAGCAGCGATTAAAACAAAAAAGAAGAGAGGGAGGGGGAGGAGGTAAATCGCTGCGTTTCAAAGTCCGAAAGGCATAGTTTAGAACCGATACCTCCACTTGCCAGTAGACAAATGTCGGATCTAACGTCGAGAACTGCTTGGCGCCTCGTAGAGAGTCCAACGGACAGCTAATTTTGGGTTAAAAAACGCATCTTTCTTTGTTACTGCATCGAGCCTCCTATAATAGATGCATAAACGCGGACTGCTGTTGCTCTTTTTCACTAATGCGATGAGAGAGACTCAGGGTGAGTTGACGAGTCTGATTGCGTTGTCGCGCAGCCTCTTGTCGATCAACCGATGTACTTCGTCTCGAAGGGCCTAGACGGCTGCTACACTGGATAGCCTCATCGATAGCGATCGTGCGATTGACTATGCCCGTTCGTCTCAGTTTCTTTCCTGTCCAAGGGGACATTTACGAGTAATTCTTTGAGAGCGAGCTCATTTCCTTTCCCTCACTGTCGATAAGATATTTTAGTTGGGCGCAAAGATTGCTCAGACTGGTCCCAGTGACAGCCGGTGCAGCGAAGAAGAACTTGCATTCTTTCTTTGGTTGGGGGTCGGAGCCTTCTACTTGGACCTTTGATGAATTATGAGCACGCCTGTATCGAAGTCCATAGTCTCTCAAGTCTGGTATAAAAGGTCAGCTCCTAGCAGTACGTCCAAGGCAAGTTCTGGACATAGCACTAAATTTTCCTCCCAACTTTCCTTTCCCAATTTTGCCTCTGATAGAGGCTTCTGTAGAACACAGTTTAGAAGCCTTCGGAGTGATCTGTGGGTTTAGTAACGAAGGCGGTGTTCCGAGTCCAGAAAAAAGTGCACATGTGACCTTCCATTTTGCCCTACATCCGCATAAAAGTAAGGAATCGAGAAGGAACAGACAACTGTGATTCACTTTGTATTGGAATACCGATTGGATGCGCACACTTTGCCTACCGAAGGTTGAAAGTCTGATGGAAGTCCACGGTTGAAAACAGCTATTGAACTCTATTTTGACATGGCGACTGCCAAGGCAAGTGGATGCACACCCCTTTTGAACTGGACCGCTATCCATGGAGCGATCCGGAAAGGCCAGCAACCATTGAAGGCCCGTTTGGCTAGTAGTTTGAGACTCCAAACAAACTCTTCATCGCTCTCCTCTGGCTTCTATAAAAGCTTGAAAAGTCTGAAGTCAATAACTTTTTCTTCTGTAGGGATTCCAGTTCGACAAGGACCCTGAAGCATTCTTCTATGTCTGAGGTAAGTGATAATCGCGCCTGTTGTCGTGGGCGTAGTTCATACGGTACGGCGCGAAGTAGCAAGCGGGTCCTCCGAGCAGGGTCATAGACCCCGAGACATCGAAACCCATTTCTTTGTTAAAGGAAAGATTTCGACCGGTGCTGTCACCAGTGTAGAGCCTCTGTGCCTATCCCTACGTTCCTAAACGTTTATTTGTCACCTTGTGTAGAAAAGAAAAAGGAAGGCATTATTGAAACTATAGGACGACGTCACCCTGACGATGCCTATATGCGCTCCACACCAACCCCTTTTTATTTTAGAAATGCTTACTCGCCTCTTCGCTATAAAAGCAAGTTAAACACATTGGTACATACTGCAGTGACCTCACATTTATATGGAATGATCAATTTTCATCCATGCATGAGCTTAAAATATTAATACTATAAGGACTTGATCAACTGAATGACTAACTCTCCCTTTCATATTAACCTTGCTTTAGATTGCGTTGGCTGGACCGTGATGCGAACCGAATCCCAACCTCCTCCCCTTCATTCGAAATACTAAAATTCAACCTTACGTAAGGACTTCCTTTAGCTAATGGGGAGTCCCACAACGTAAGCATCATCACTGTAAATCTTTTGCTAGATATTTTAGCACGAGTAAAATTGTTAAGAGTGTGGCGTCTCGAGTGACCGCCAAACGTCAAGTAGTCATATAAACAAAGCTTTACTAACAGTTCACTAAATGCTAGCTACTATTGTAATACTTTACGTGACCACCAGATGTCCGGCGTTTACTTGACGGTTTGTCTCATTTTTGTACGCATGGGATTGCCTTTGGACCAAACTGAGGTTGAATTACTTTGTTCTCTCTAGAACACATTGTAGTGTCCCGAGAAGAAGAAGGAAGTGGAAGAAGGCAGCAAGTGAAGTTGGATACACGTATTCCGCAGGGAACAAAGCGACTAGGCCTGGGCAGCTTACGAGTACGAGTACCCTACAAATCATAAAGTAACCGCTAAACGTCAAATAGCCGCATAAACAAAGCATTGCATGCATGTATTCAACCCTACTTTATGTCTTCTTCCAACCGACGGGAAGGCTCAGGACGCTACGTCTGTTAACTATGCGTGAGGTAACACATAGACTTTAGCAGGTGGGCATCGCGATCACATTCTTACAGGATCAAACTTCTCACAAAATTCAGTACTCATTTGATCACTAAGATTTTCACTGTATGCAAAGCCGTTTGCACACAAAGCGGCATCTTTATTCATCTCCTAATTTGGATCGTGTACACTTTTTTAATTCTTACCCTGCAGCAGTGCCATTAGCTGCTGGGTTATAATTGGTTACATTTTTTAATGGCACTGGAATTAGTCTTCCAGAGCTCGAATTGAGTTTAGTCACACGAAATGGTGAAGAATCTGTTGAAAGTAACACTTTTTGGAGCTGTAGTTGGGTTTATCGGTTACTGCGTTTATTTTGATCGCAAACGTCGGAGCGATCCGGAGTTCCGTACCAAACTTGCCAAAAGTAATCATAGCTGTTGTCTTCGCCTTATTCGTACATAGGACGGCGGGCGAGAGCACTTGCTGCGCAGAGAGCATCAGTGCCTGCCCTTCCCGCCATGAACGATCCCAGAGCTGTCCATACTTTCTTTTTAGAGCAAATTCAGCAGGGCGAAAATGCGCTCTCCTCTGGCTGTACCGATGAGGCCGTTCGGCACTTTGCATACGCAGTTGTTGTGTGTGGTCAGCCCACGCAACTTCTACAGGTTCTGCAACATTCACTCAGTCCTGCAATATTCTCAAAATTAGTGGCCTCACTACCTGAGATCAGAAAGGTAATGCATGTCGTTAATAATTGAAACGTGTTCAATTCAGTTGATCCTCGACGCCAGTAATTTACTTCCGAGGGGCCAGAGTGAGGAGGAACTAGAATAACCTTGTATATGTCTTTTTAGCTGAATAAATGCCCTCATGCCCAGTTTGTTCTCTCACCCTTGGTCTCAATAAGTAACAGTTGATTAATCCTGGCGTTGTTGTTAATCTTGTCTAGATTTCACTGCGAACATTTTTCCTGGTGTGCCTCTGCACTTTGTCCAGATCAGACAAAATAAATCCTTTTGAAATGTTTCCCAATCATGGCACAGGGGACGGATCTCATCAAGCACTCCATAAACCGGAACCTATTGGCAGTCCACATACCCTCCTAGTACGGTCATTATGGCAACAGCTGAAGGCTGCACTTCCTGAAGGGTTTGAAGCTCTTTCCTCTGTGGATGTTACGCTTCGATGCAAACTATCCAAAGGGGATATTCTGCTTATCAAACGTTTTGTTGAAAACAACTCCGAATTTCCTGTTCCCTCTACGGACTCTATAAACGAGATATTTTCTCGCTTTATGGAGCCTGTTTATGAAACTGATTATCACCACTCCTTTGTTTTTTCCTACGAATATTTGTTTGCTCTTGTTCCATTTCTTATTTACTTTATTTGTCGAAAAATTGGTGCAATTCTTACTACTGCGGTGGGGATTCTATCCTTTGCGGCCTATGAGCTTTATATTCAAGCCATTGCCAAACGTCACGCTCTCCTCAGTCGACTGCCGTCTATTCCTGACGATTGTCTTCCCTATTCCCAACGGTCTTTAATGCATCGACTCTCTAGTTGGATACCGTTTCGAAGATCCCGAGACGAGTGTGTTGAATACTTCAAACTTACTATGACCTCGCCCTTTGCAGAATTGCGCCCAGACCGCATTATTCTTAGTGTTCTAGGGGATTTCATGGAGTTCATCGCGTCCACATTCGGTGCCAGTTTGGGGCAATTTTATCATAAACTTAATTTATGGGTGCCCTTTTATATTGCCCTCCCCTTGACTGTCTTATGTGTATTTTTACTCTGCCGTATGCCAACTTCTGCACGCAGGCCAAGACCGGCCAAAAGTCGAAAACTGAACAAAAATAAACCGCCTTTGGCTCTGAAACAAGAATGAGTATGTGTACTTATTAACATTAAATAAATGCTCGTCTTCAATAAGTCATCCATTTTAAACGTTTTAAAGGGTTCCTTTTCAAAAGTAGTACGCTGGCTCTTGTTCTATATCGGTGATCTCTAGCATAAAGCCGAGCTTTGAGTTTAGTGGGCATTACTTTGGTTAATTGATGTCCAACCTCATACCATGAGCACTTTTGATGGGGTGCTGTGGATAAAATGGTTTTGACTTTGCGAATAAAATGGGCTGCCTTGGTAAAGAGATAGCAGAACGGTGCGTTCAGTCTATCTGGCTTTGTGCCAGTCTGTTTATTGTCTTCTACTACTAACTATTAATCTCTTCAGCCATGAACCCAACCCCAAGAGAGTCGGCTCTTTTCATTAGCCAGAACGCTGACCATGTGAAGATTGTTGAAGAGGCTATTCCGCCTTTGGCAGAGAAGGTAAGGATTAGTTGAACGAACTAACCGTCAACCATTTATAGCTTTATGCTGACTTGAAGAGTGGCGTTTTCGGGGATTCTTGGGACGCCAATGACATGCATCCGAAATTCGAAGGCCCGTCCACTGTGAATTGGTAGGAACGTCTAGTTCGTGCTCCTGGCACACCCATTGTCTCCCCAAATTTACAGGGCTGTTGAAACTATTTCAACTGTCCACAAACCTCTTCATCAGTCACCTCCACTTCCAGTTGCATGGTTTTTTTTTTGCACAACTTTGTTGTCTTTTTTTTGCCTTTTGAGGATATTTTTGATTGACTCGCTAAATTTCTCCTTCTGGACGGATGAAAACATTCCCAAGTACGTGGTGACTTTCAAAGGACAATCTTACACCGGTTACATGGCGCTCTGTGCAGCAGTCAATCGTGCTCTTGCGGTGAGTAAAACACTTTTTCTCTCGTCGTCAGGATTTGATCTTTGATCTAACATTTGAAGTAGTAGAGTCACAGGTGATCCAAACAGGGCTCCTGTTACCCATTTTTGGCATACACATTTAGTACAATTCAAGTTATGCTATAACCCAATATTTTAATAGAAACAAGGGTACAAAAAGGTAACGAAAACGACAAATTCGCCTTCTAGAGGGGTGAGAGGAGTGCCAAAAGCACAAATGTGATGCACAATATGCAAGTAAAGTCCTTTAGAAAGGTCCACATATAATAAGTGATCGCCACAAGTAGGAGGGTAAGCAAGAAAACTTTTAGTAGGCTTCGAGACTGATCTGGTGTGTCTGTCCTAGCAATTGGCCGTTGCTGCTGTCCTAACAGACTTCTAGCAGTATTGATGAGAGCGCCGACAAAACGATGGAGAAGAATACAACTGAGCGTTGTTGCACTAGAGGCTGTGCTTCTCCGG